TCAATCACAGACACCTTCTGCTTTCTCTGTGCTTTCGTTGCAGCACTGTCCCAGATGGCAGCTGTCTACAACAGCTTACAAGCTCAAAAGGTCTCCCCTTTTTCTCTTTCTTACTTTTTCTTTTTTTAAAGACCGGATTAATACAATTAATAATTACAATACAATATATTATTAATCTATGAAATTTCGAATGCATACCACGCTTCTTCCGTAATCTCAGCCCGCTCCACGGAAACCTACAAATTTGGTAATTACCAATTGATGATTTCTCAACCAAACCACTGTATCTATGAGCTTCCTACCACCTCTAATCCGTTAATGATTGAACGCTCCGGTTCCAAAAGAAGGGAATTCTTCAAATCGTGACAGACATTTCGGATTGATATATTGCCACATACTTAGCCCATCATGCAAAATATGTAGATGATGCCTCGATGCATCTATCGAATTGAAGCAGAATCTTTAAAAGAATGATTCGACATTAAGTGTAATGTTTAACGTACCTATGTATAACGCTCTCAAGGACCGAAAATTGCAGGAGCAGTTGGTCTTTCGCTTTTTAATCGCTACCGCTATTCTCTATACGATCTCTATACTAACTACTTTTTACATACTACACATGACTAACATACGGAAACCTATAAATGAGGTGGGTATCTATCAATATTAGAAATCCTACGTTGATACTTTCCATCTGCAACAAAAGGGAAGAAGACAAAAATATAATATGTATACTTAGGATGATTTGTATGAAAACTATGCCTGAGGTTAGCCGATATAGAAGTAGAAAGATTATCCGAGCAATAATGCCGCCGGGTTATTTAGGAGGTCCGTGGGCCTCAGGCAACAAAAAGTGTAAAAAGCCTAATTTTAGCATGGTCATGCCCAATCCCTTCCGTTACCCTAACGTAACGGAGAGGTTTCTAATCAATTTTTTGAACATTAAATCTAACGATAGACCCTGGATGGTCCCACAGCTATGATACGAAAAGTTCGCCAGGAAAACGAAGACTGTAAAAGTTAAAATGGCTGTCAGCAACTTTGAAACTATAGAATTTCGAGAATTCGAGAACTAAGGACGAACAACTAAATTCGAGAACTGAAATGATATTCAAACGAACCAATCAATGAACTTTAGGCACATGCAATGTATTACTGTGAAGTTGGATGGAGCCTTATATGCGCTTGTATAGCTGTGGTGCTCAGTGAGTTTTACATTCCATCTTTTTTGAAATCAACAAGAAGGAGTATTAAACCCAAACAGCTGTTTCCATGGAAAGTTCTACAAATCAACGAAAGCATGAAGCAGAAATTCAATTGTGATTTCAAAGTCCCTATATGGTAGTGAAATGCATGATTACAGCCGGGATCGCCTCCTACATCTTCATCATGGAGCACCGTTGTGCTCGCGAACGACAGCTCAGTATTCGACGACGGAAGCAGATTCACAACGCCATTATGTCATCCTGTCGTGAAGAAGTTGCAATGGCGATCAGGGCTCGAATGACAGTTCTTTGAGTTCGTTCGTGGATTGCGATAAATTTTAATAAATCTGTGCTTTCTAGTAAGGCAATCAGCTGAGAGCGCTTCAACCCAAAACGGACAGCAATTTCTGACTGATTAGTTACATCTACGCCTTACCTCTTTCCAAGAGTACTGCTGTTGCAATTATTAACCCACATGAATATTCGATATCAAAAGTGTTCTGATTCAACTAAACATTCAAAAAATAAACATGAAAATCAGTGATAGGGATCGAGAAAACAAATTGAGAAGATTTACCATCAGAATCCCTTTCTTTCTCAAAATTCCATCAACACAGGAGGTGCTGGCCCACCGGTTTCTGCAGTTTTCCTGTGCTTTCTTTCCTCATCTTTCTGCAACATACTGAGATGTAATAAATTACGAAGTAGCAGGTATTTGATATTGAAGAAAGACACCAGACACCACTAACCTTGTCCTTTTTCTTTTTATCTTTCTTTTTCTTCTTCTCTTTCTTTTCGCTTTTGTGCTTCTTCCGTTCAGGCTCATCACCTGCAAAATAATCTTTCAAAAAAAGATCACGAAGTTTTTCAAGAGAATGAACCACAGTCCGATGAATTGCACCGAAATCGAAGGTTAAAAACTCACCGTCTAAACTATCTAGCGAGTTTTTATATCGTTGACCACCGCTGTAATCCTTCCTTTCTACGTCATATATAACTGGCATGCCGTCGCCTTCACGTTTCTTCTCGAAAAGATATCGATACCTTAAATTATATTCGAAGATGCACGGTTAGGAAAGGAAAAACACGGCCCTGACTATAAAATTCCTTGTCTTCATGTTATTTAGTACCTACATATTACTCTAGTCGATATACTAGAGGCTTCCTGAGGAACTAGATTTTTTATCCACCTCATTTTTTATCCTTTCTCACCATTCCTATTTTCAAACACCAAAAGCCTCCCTTCAGGGTGCGGTAGAGCTGGGAATATTAAGCAGCAGCAGTCGCCTGAAGATTTGAGAACGCAAGAGAAGCGCCCAAAAATAGCCGTGGGAGAGGGAATTAACTAGCGCAAGCATCAAAAGCATGAAAATATGCATCGCCATAATAAGAAAACTCCACAGCAACATAATGAAAAGCAGACACATGTAAACACACCGCACACAGGTTCAAGTTAAGTTCGTCAAAAATTCGTTTCCAAAACCTAGAGGGAAGAAATTGTTAGAAAAGAGTGGTGATATTATTTAAGGGTAGTAGAAGATCTTAGGGAAAGACCTCAGTTCTATTTTTTCCGGTTACATACTCTTATTCCCAGAGACAGTCACGGGTCGCCTTGACAAAATAATAAAACACGTTCAAGCAACTGAAGTGCTCAAAACAAATAAAGTAAACCGCTGCAACTCGAAATCGTTCTCAACTCATTTAAATAATATCTACCTTTCATCCACAGGTCCTGGAGTCAGACGGAACCCACTCATGGCTGTTGAAGATAACGTATTTATTTCTTTTCCAGTTATCGGTGGCTTTTCCACGAGCATTTTCAATGAGCTGAAACCATGATAATTCGAAAGTTGACTTTGACTTTTTCATGACTTTGGGCAGATCCTTAAGACATCAGAAAAGAAGCTTTCAGCGAAACATGTTATTCCTACGGCTAAACACATCATAAGCCTCACAAAGCGGATCCTCACTATTAAGACCATACTAAGATTCAGTGAATTCATAGGAAGCAAGGGCATATGATGATATATGAGGAGCTTAGCCAGTCTGAGATTCTCTGACCGAGCAAGAACAAGAAGGAGAGATAGAGAGATGGTTTTGGCACTAAAAGAACATCTCAAAAGAAAGAAGGAGATGAGAGAGAAACGAGAATCATCACTCAAAACTGTAGTGAAGCTTCAGAACGCAAACTAAGCAGTTTAAAAAATTGAGCTTATCTTGACGAAAACTTTTCAGAAATATCCTTCTTTCATTTAAATGAATACATGTGCATAAATATTATATAATAAACATAAAAGGCCGAAAAAATTTTCACCTTATGTCCTGAGCCTGAGAAAAATTAAAATTCCCGTAGATCTGAGGTAGAAATGAGTTGAGATCTTCACGCATCTTTTTTGCACCGCAATATCGACTGTACACTGCGCCGAGGTCATAGGCAGTCAGCAAATCGGAGCTACCAAGCATAGGGCTTTTCGCTGAATCGAATCGAATCAATCAAATTCAACACAAACCGATAAAATCGAAAGATGACTTACGAGGAAGCTCCGGTTTCAAAGTGTAGAAGGGAGTCACGGTCACCGCTGTCGCTGCTCCCGTTTTGAAGGATATTTTTGTTCTGAGCAGAAATTTTAGTTTTTATAGAGCTCTTGCTATACAGAAAAATGGATTCATAAATATCTGATTAGCTCACTTGAGAGAAAGAGTTGAAATCGATGGTGAAGATAGTGAAGGGAGTGAAGAGCCCCAAGTCCCATCGCCCATCCCAAGTCGTCAGAATAAGCCTGTTAAAACTTCATAGTCTATTAGAAAAACAGTTCATAGCTCCTCGTTTCAACAATAGCGAAGACAAATGTAGGAGCAAGACAATTTATACGAAAATGGTCAGTTATGTGAATAATTGCTCTTTCCACGATTGAAGGTTCCGACCATCACAATTTGGAGAGAAAATGAGGGCTTGAAAGTTCAGAGAAAACACTTTTCCAAATCAGACTTCGTCAGAAAAATCGTTGAGCTTCTTTTTATCTATACTGAAATCTTTGCAAACCATTTCTTTCCAAATGCATCAAACCGTGAGTATAAAGCAATTTTAAACTATTTCCGCGAATATAAAGTATTTTATAGACCAATCACATTAAAGCGTTCCCTGCTGAAAAACATAAATATCTCAATATTTTCAACTAACGCACTTTGAGCAATGGTGAACGAAAAGCGAAATGAGTAGTAGTCAGATTTTTATGAGCTCAGCAAACAGAAAACAAAGAAACTCTCGATGAAATAGAGTGGATCCAGAGTGGAGCGCCCATGTAACATTTCTGAAATACCTGAAGGAACAGCCTTAAAAGGAAGGGATATCCCAATCAGAACAAAAGCATTTCCCATAGAAAAAATTCCTGGGTTTGAACTAATGACAGTTGATTCTAAACTATGAGAAAGGGAAACAGCCAGAGTGACAATCGGAAAAAAACCCTACTAAAATTTTGTTTTGGCGTCATGGAAAAATGCCAACTGTGGCTGCGGCGAAGACAGCTAACTGGACGTCAAGCTACCCTCCCCCGTGCTTGGCCGTCTGCCCGAGCACATTTCGACGTTTCACGTCTTCAAGATTCACTTTTCCCTGAGTGTGTTGGTGTTCTTAACAGTCTGAGCAGTAGAAGTGTGTAGGAAGTGTTTTAGTGCAAATTTTGGGGAGGGTAGAGACATTTCCCGTACTTGGGATCTATCTGCCCTGCAGTCGCCCGTTACATGTACTCTTGACGTCATCCGCCATCGATTTGGCCGGTGCCGCCTGGGAAGAGTTTGTTCGAGCTTCTACTGCGCATGTTCCGAGCGGTTTGCTTTCTGTGAGTGAACTAGGGAGGTTGGAAAGAGCGTTTCAATTCATTTCAACACTGTCACTATTACTTTTCTTATTGTTTCTCCGACGAGTCGTTCTCGTTAAGCTTTTCTTTCATTCCTGTCATTTCTCTCGAGTTTATAAATCCCTATAGGTTTAAAAGAAGCTATTTGTAACGTTAATTGTAGTAAAATGCAGTGTTATATGCTTCTTCGCAGGGGCTGTAGCTAGCTAGTTTCCCTTATTTCCTTTCTGCTTTGAAATTTAAAGTGTACAATGTGTTTTTACGGTGATTTTGTGCTAGAGGATGGTATGTTTTATTCACATAATCCGTATTGTCATTTTCCGCTTATAGCGATATGTTATCATTCGTTGTAATATGTCAAAACCAGACGAATCGCTTGGCTTACGCCCACCGCTCCTCTTTTTTTGCAACAAAGCCGAAGTGCCCGCCCCTCTCGGGGTATTCCTCCTTTCAGTGCTTTGATTTGGAGGTTTAATTTATCAGATACTTTCATATTTTGTTTGCCACTTTATTTACGGGTAATTAGTCCTTTCCTTAAACATGATGTCCGCCAGCTCGGCCTAAGATGTAAACGTAGTTTTAGTTTCAAACAGTTTTTCATAAGGCAATCTTGTTATTGCGCTTAGCGCATATTGATATCTTCTGTAATAAATGATCGTGGAGGGTGCAAAAGTGATAGCATTCGATAAAAGGATTACGAAATGGCAATATATGGCAATAAAAATCTGCATTCACTATTGACGACCAGGGTGGCCTAGGGACAGAAAGAAAAGCTGTAGTTCAGATGGCGGTCTTAATATAATGAATACAAGGTGATTCTGTGTGATCATTAATTTTGTTAAAATTGTACCGAAAAAGAATGAAGGGTGTAAGCCACCCCCGTGGCGTAAAGGGGAAGCCCTTGGGTAAGCCGAGCGATCTTGTGATATGGTTATTTGGAGTCCATGCTGGGTGTGTCGTATTTTATAATTCTTGTTGTCCTGAATTTCTATTTATTATTTGAAATTCACGCTCAAAGTTTTCATGAATTAAAGCTTTTCAGATGGTTTTGATGGGCGACAATGTCCCTCGAGGTTCCATCGCATCACAGTTGCCCGAATTTTCGGATGAAGTGGTTCATCTTACTAATGGCTATGAATATATTGATTCATTCACTTCACTGATTGGACTAGGATCGTTCGGAGTCGTCTATAAGGGCTACAGTGTTAAAGATCGGACAGATGTGAGGTTCTTTTTACCAATTCTTTTCAAGGAATTAAAGACGATTTTACTACTTTAGGTTGCCATCAAAAAAATGGGCAAGCATAACGTCAAGGAAAGTGAGCTCGGAGTCATTAGGTGAGTCGGTGATGGTTCAGCTGACTTTTACAAGTTTCAGTGACTAAGTGTACGTACGAATCTCTCCTATCTAGGTCGCTGAATAACGCCTACTTAGTGGGTGTGCTGGATATATGTGAGTTAGATGATGTTACTTGCTGCCTTATTATGGAACTATGCGATTGCGACTTAGACAATCATATTAGGAATCATTCTAGCGACGGTCGATTGAACAGCGACAATCTCAGGTAGTCGACTAACAATATTTAATCATTTCTAAATTTTTCAATAATATTCACTGCATACTTTAGAGTACTCGTCGATAATATTGCTCGTGGCTATAAAGGATTATTTGACTACAAAATTGTCCATAGAGACATTAAGCCACAAAATATTTTATTGAAGTATATCCCAAAGAGCAAGCAGATCTCAGCAGCAAAAATTACTGATTTTGGTCAGTTTACTATAAATCTCATGAAGTTTACTACTTTACTGACCTCTATTATCTTCAAGGTATTGCCCGAACTTTGGATAGTGAAGGATCGGATCTCTGTAATGTTGCTGGCACGTTATTCTACATGGCTCCAGAAGTTGGTGCTAATCTGCTCAAGACTTGTCAGTATGACTCTAAGGTCGATATGTGGAGCATAGGCTGTTTACTGTATCAGTGCGTCACAGGCGAGGTAAGATAGTGAATGGTTACAGGCAAATCCTTTCCACTAAAAAGTTATTCCAAGGTACAGAATAAGACACTTCACACAATTTCCTCGCAGATAACGATTAGGAACTTAGTGTAAACCTTCACTCGAAGGTTTCCCCGTTAAAATCATCCACCTGGTTTGTGTACTAACTTCTTCGTCTTCTCTTGTTTACGATAACCTCCCCATGTTTGTTCAAAGACAGTTCTAACGTGTTTGCTTCCTCACTAGGCGCATCTCTAGAGCTGGATGATGACTTATTTTCGTGAGATGCTTCCTGTAGTTGGCCTGTTCCTTACAGCTGCCCAGCGTTTAGAGCTTCTTGTCTCTTTTCTCCTTTTAAAAGAAATTGTTTCGGAAAATCTTTGGTTGCACGTTCTCAAAAGAGTGTGATTGTATTAGTGAGTTGGAAAAAAACTGGGGGAAAGGAACAACTTTTTTATCTGAGCGATAGCTTCAAATTTACTGATAAGGCTCAGGTTGAATTCATTAAGAGTCAGTAGGGCTTCAATGCGACGCTCTCCCCTCTTGTGGCATTTTCCTCAAGAAAAAGGTCTTCGAAAGGTTTTCTTAAAGTGACCTCACTGAACCCTGGCTTTATTTCTTCAATTCAAATACATTATGTCCGATACCATTTCAAATAGAGAAGCTTTTCAGATTCCATTTGATGAATGTTTCTTGTGCAAGCTATTTCTGTATACTGCTGGTGCCAATTACGATGCCTACGATCCGCCGGAATTGCCAGAGACGACAAACGAGGAAATGAGCGATATCATTCACTCGTTGCTCGAAATTGACTCTTCCCGAAGATGCACCCCAGTACAGTTCTATGATAAAGCAACAAGCTTTAGCCAAAAGGTTTTCTAGCAGCTGATATGTTTTGGTGCTGGGTTCTTATTCCGGAATTAGTGCGGCTTCGCTCTAATACTTGTAATTTGTTCCGGTTATAGTGGAATTTTATTACTGGCTACTAATTTGTTGCCAAGTGACCTGTCTTATGGTCACTAATAACTACTAGGCTACAATAGTCTTACTCAGGCAGACTAATTTTGCTCTACTTTTCGCATAATACGTACTTTAACTCATGGGTGATTCCGGAATGAAACCTGCGATCTCTCTGAGTCATATCACTAGAGCATTCGCATATAGTTATCACGCGTAGTTCAGTTAAGATGATGCTGTAGATCTGTTGTGTTTATTAGTGAGATCATGCGATGTTCAGAAGAAAGTATGAGCTACGTGTTTTAGTAGGATAGAGTCATGTTTCTAGAAGTAGGATCGATTTGTTGTTGTTAACATCACTTTGTGTTGTGATTTTTGATTCTAGGAATTGTCTCATCGAAAGAAGTATAGTCGTCAGATCGGGTATGTCGTACAATTCATGTAGTTTCGCAGATTAAAAAATCAATAAATATTCCAAATTAGAGATTTAACTCGATTTGTTGACTGTTCTATATGTGATATGGTCAAAACGTGCCTGCATACTCGATACCCATCTATTTAAGTGAACACTTGATCACGAAATGATTTGTCGAAATGGCAACTGAGGTGAGAACCTGCTGGAAATTGTTCCGTTTCTTTTTGATATCTTTATTTCGTGTGCACGTTTGTTGACTGGATACATTTTTTCTCATTTTTCCCAAAGAAAACCCTTATCTGATGGGGGCGAAGAAAGCAAGTGCTGCACTATAACACATCCACGGTCACGGGCTCGAATGCCGATTCGATTTCTCCTTTGACCAACCAAGCCTTCCATTCCTCAGGGATCGCTTAATTGGTATCAGAATCATTTAGGAGTAAAAACCAGTAGTTTGTACTCCGGCTGGCTGTCGCGAGTAATTGTATAGCCCCCGAATTTAAAACGCCACTACGATTCTGAATGAAAACCGAATGCCTCAACCGAATGGATGGGGAGTCCCAAAAATCGGGATTTTTTCAAGGCGGAGGGTTCAGTCTAACTTACCTCCAAGTGGTGGATCTATTGCGCATCAAATTTGTGTGACAGTTGTCCGTATATAACAAAAAAGGCAGAATTTTGGTGTATTTGATTCTGGGCCACGGTTTATTGATAAGGAAGAAATATCTTTCACGTCCCGACGATCTGAGATGATGTACAATACGGCCTTAAAATGGCCTTGTAAGTGCCCTCTGAAATTTCAACAATCCTTTCTTTTGATGTGAGTTCTATTTTCCAATCACATTCATTCAAGCGCATTCACATTTCCGTCAAATTCGGTTTCCAAAGTTTTCATTTTTACTGTGGTAGCAGGAAGGAAAAAAAGCTATAACATATTCGCGATATTTACATCACCATTTTTCTGTTTTCGAGATTTGAGCTTTGACCTTTCCCATCATCTACAAGTTCATCGTTGATGAATTCAACTGCGAATGATTGGGTTAGGAAAATCTCACTTGTATTTCTCCCTTATGCGACGGTTTTCTTCAGGGAATAATGTCATTCGCACCTATAACAGGTGGATCTCCAAGGACGAGTTCACCTTTTGGTTTCGATTCATCTTCTTCTCGTTTCAGGTACATAATCGTTATTGTTCAGCTGTTATAATGATCTGAAATCAAAAATCCTTTTTTTCAGTGCCTCTATTACCCCTGATATCGATGACGAACGCTCCATCTATACGTCACCGACGCCGGTCAGTCGCAGTCTAAAAGCAGGTATGTCTTCTAGATCCTTAGAAAGGGAATCCTAGTTCCAAAGTATTTTTTGCCTCCACAAACAAATAAGTACAGATCCATGTAGCACATGGTGATAGTACTTTAGTTAGTAAAGCGTAAGCCTTTGAATGGCAATGGATCCCGTTCTTACGGAGTTTCAATAAGAGGGACTGAAACCTGGCCAGGCTGGCATTCTGGATGTCAAGTTTCCCGATGATAAGGATCACAATTCAAAAGATGTTTCAGACAATGTCAAAGAAATCTATTTCAAAGCCCATGTTGAGGAAATGCTTGAAGTAAATCGGAAGGAATTGGAAGAAGGTGAGGATTCTGTTATCAACGTACTTGGAGTATTATCCGTTATTTCGTTTTTCCATTTTTTCTCTTGTTTTCCTCCCTTTTACCAAAGTTATGGTTTTTTCGGAGAGGTCTCAGCGTTCTATTCCATTATTCTCTCCTATCTTTCCATTGCTTCGTGTGAGCATTTCTATTTTAATTTTTTCTATTTTTAACAGCGAATATGCTTTTTTCTCGGCTACCTTCACTTCATGCTGTTAGCTTTTATTTGCATTCTTGAATGAAAACAACGAGATTCCGGTTGATTTATGTATTTTGACTTGAGTACTAGGTTTTGAACCGTCATCGACCCAGAGTAAATAGATATTTGTGGAAACAGAGCGCAAACATTTGCTACGTCGATTCAAGAAACAAATCTTCTTATTCATTCGGAGAATTTTTTCGCGGCGTAATCTTTGAGCTTGACTTTCTCTTAACCACTAAGTCATTCGAAAGAATGCTGACTTGTGCGATTTAGTTTTCCATGCTGGGAACATTTTTGCCATCGCAGCTCTTCCTTTGGATTTACAGAATAGACGGAATGGTGAAGAAATTCACACTGAGGCACTCGGTTCATTTTCACAATCGCAGTTATTTTCCTGAAGAAGATCCTTTTATATTGTTGACACTGGGAAGATAGTTGTCTATATAAACGATTACAACCTGCAGTTAGGATCTCCTTTTATGGTTAGGTGACGTAGTTGGCGATTCCCAAATGGTGGTATGCGTATTCTAAACTTTGGATGTAATTGTTCACAATGACCAGGTACTTGGAGAAACCCTTGTTTTTGCGTACTTCACCCTGAACCCGTGATTTCTATAAAGAACTGGACTTCCGGGAAATTTGGGTGAGCAGTATCGTGCAGACGGAGCATGAAAAACGTTTCGATTTTCTGTTTGAGTGGGATCCCCACATATGAGCTACTATGGACATATGATGCTCACGTTAATGTGGGTAGCCAACTGGTTATGAAATAAAATGCTAAGGATTCCGGTACTGCACCAGCAAGAAGGTAACGACAATTCATCCCTGAATACTCATCATTGTTGACATGACATAGAATAAGGCTTCTTTTCCCAGAACCTTCTATCTACACAGATGCCCCACATGCTCTTTGATGGTGAAGTAACCAGACTTGAAATTTTCAAATTTTTCCGAAATTTCCACTGTTAAAGGTTTTTCAGAATTACATCAAGGACGAATGAAAGCCCTGGAAGCCGCTCTGGAAGAGGCAAAGAAAGAGAGTTGGATGTACAAGCCGCTTGATTTCTGAGGTGATCGGACACCCAGTCCTATTCTTTGTTTCATTCCTTTGTAAATGTCTAATTATTCTGATGTACATTTTGTTGATAAATACTGACTTTTACTGAATGATAAAATTGGTAATTTACTACCTACATCATGATTTTTCTAATCTATTGTCGATATATAGATTTCTGGCTTTATATTGGATTGTTTGAGAGTACATAGCTTATGAAGGACATTATATAAGGGTAAAGTATGAAAAGAAGCGTATTTGTCTCTTCGAGATGAGTAGCATACCTTGTTTACATCCACAAGTTCAAGAACTCTTTATGGCCATGGGGGGATACGATGAATCTGCTCACCCGGGTATGCATATGAAGGAGGGAGTGGTGACTGGGAAGATGCGATGAACTCAGCGGCTTAGCGGCAGCTGTCTGGAAAAATCCATTTGTTCTTCCGAACTTTCAATCTCTACTGATTTTAAAAGGGGTGGAAATGGTCCGGGAACGCCAATCTTCAGAAACTGTAGTTCCATGCTGTTTCGCTTGACGACGTTATTGGCAATACCGTAATCGATAACATATCAATTTGGAGGCGACATGTAGATTCCGAACGGGAATCAGGAAACTGTGCCCTCTAGGAAGCGCGCGGCAACTTGCGCGGCGAAGTTCGTGACGATTTGTCCGTCTCTGACGCCAATTTTCGGGACACAAACTCGAAGTAGAGTAGTTTAGTAGGGTCAGGTGATCCTTCTAATCTACTCTACTTCAAATTTGGGCCCCAATGATAGGCGCTAAACTCTTTCAAATTGTTACGAACTTCGCCGCGCAAGTGGCCGCGCGCATATTAGAATGTTTGATACACCATAAATGAGTAAATTTGTAGAAATTTGTAGAGAGCTATACCTTTGTTCACTTAATCAGCCATGACTGAGCGATCTAGACCAACTGAGAAACTAAATACTTCCGAGGCGGCACTTTTGTGCGAACGCCGGAATGGGAAATGGGATCTCCGCACGCGACGTTGCGATTATTCCTTAGAAACACATTAATTCTTTGATTTTCCGAAGTTTGAATGTATCAGGAACGTGAGCAGATTCCTTTTGGAAGGCTGTTATACTTGTTCTTCCTTACACGGACAAGAACTACTATTTTCTTGTAATAGCGCTTATTTTTCTTGGTTCCATAGTTTCCATTGTTGCGTTGCGTTCACGAAACGCCTCCGTTTTTGTCAAACGGGTACCGTTATGCCAGTTCCTCAGAGGCTGCTTTTATAGTTCGCGATGCCACCCGCGATCGATCGAACGGACGGAGGGCTGCTCGCCCAACGGTATCGACCAAGATTCAGTTTTAAATAAGGGGCAAGCGCCATCCCCGTTGCTCGCTCTCTCGTACTCGGGGTCTCGGGCTCGCGGGCCAAATCGCGGACTATGAAAGCAGCCTAGTATTTCTTGATAGTATTGATTGATCAGTCAGCTTATTTAATAATCTCGGAAGCAACATTTCAAGTTTCTCCTAGCGTGAGGTGGGAAATAATGTCACCGAGTATGTCCAAAATTAACCATAGGTGCCGCTGACTGTCACAACTGACACGACAGGCAGATTGCCAAATCGGCCATAGAAAAGGACCTCTCTGGAATACTTCATTAGGGTCGTACTCAACAATCCAGCATGTTGAATCGCGAAAACCACATTTCAAACAAGTGTTGTTCACTGCTTTTCGAAAGTTGTTCCTGAGCATTTGTTCTTTTTTTTCAGGAAGTCGCCGAGGGCAAATTGAGATCTTTCGGCTTCCGAAAATGTGACCGTAGAAATGGACTTCAGGATGGACAGTGTTTCTCAAAATTTGATTCAGTTCTATTAATATATTGTAGGTGCTCATTGGAATATTTGAGTCAGAGCTTTTGCATGGATTTTTTTAAATGAGCTCTTTTTGTTGCTCTGAGATTGTCATACTACGTCTCTTTTTCCATCTAAAACGTATTTCAAATGATGATCCCTGATCGATATCTGTCCAGACCAAGCTTTCTATCCCACCGATGGGAACCATCCTTGCCTGAGAGATGAAAAGAACTAGCTTGTACATCGACCGGCGAACCCAAGTTATTGTTACGGTCACATAAATAGTCAAACGCCATTATGATTCTGAATGAAGGTCGACTAGATACCAAGATGGGGTTGTTTAACGCCAAAACTTCGAATTTGTCCTTTATATAATGAGGCGGAAGTTCGTGATTCTACTGTGACTACCTTCTAGTAATTATGTAACAGTCAAGCTTTTGAAACCGTGGTTATTTTAAAATAATTGAGAAAGTAGAGATTTTGTTTTTCTAACCCACACTACACCCCTTCCCCATCCCAAACCATTTCATTGTAGAGCCTTAGGATCTTCCTGCATTATTCTTGTACGGCTTGAAAAGAAAATTGCAGTTACCCTATCATCGCTGCCCATAACCACGTTCGTGTTATTCTTGCTCAGCAGTGATTATTTATCATCTGAACCCCATGTTTTAGTAATTTCAGTGAATGCCTTCCGTGGATCGCTGTGATTGTTGTTGTTTGTTGGAGGCATTGACATGCAACAAAAAGTGGCGACCAGACAGGAATCAGGTTCGCTGCCGTTATCGTTTGGAAATATAGGAAAAGCCTTTTTTTATGCATTTCTCTTACCCACAAAAATGTAACAGGAAAGTAATCTGAAGAGAAAAGGCGCATAAAACTCGGAAATCGGCAGAAGCGATCAACCGTTGGTTGTATGGGTGAAGAATTTGCAGAAGTGGACTTATGGTCCAGTTCCAGAACTTGGAATTGATAAGTAAATCTTTCACTAAAAAGTTTTTTATCCAGTCCTGCTTTTCTTGTAATTCTGCTTGTTGTGTATGTCCCCTTCCACGAGATCAGAGGCGTTTCGGTTCATACACCGATGCGGCTGAAAATCGAACTAAATGACCCATCACCTTCTTAAAATTGCTGCACGGTTAGCTGATGTGGGGATGAGGGAATACTGTGTGAGCCGTTATTTGGGAGCAAGCTCAATGCAAGTAACGGATTTTAGCGGTGATGTGTCATAGCCCTAGAAAAAATTGATTTAAATAATTGTCATTGCGATATTTTTGAAATTTTTAAGTCTTTAAAATTGTGAATCTGTGGAATCGTCCTTTAAAAGGTTTCAGAAGAATTTCTAATGCTCTGCTACTGATATTCTTAAATGTATCCTTTCGATTCCTCGTATTCCTCCATTCATTTGTAAAAATGAAGTATTCACCGGTTGCTCTGAATGATGTCTGAATGAAAAGACTAGTCGAAGTGGGTCCTTCTTCCTTTGGAGAAGAAATCATAACTCATCTCAGATATCTCTGCTGGCCGGTTCACTGTCACTTTACAATCCCGCTTCACAGTAGAACGCTTTCTTACCAAACTGTTACTGTGGTGATGATTATGTAAGTAGGCGGTTGAGATTAAAGGTGGGTCGCCAGAAGTGGGAGAAGACGACGGTCATCGGCTGCTCACATTCGGTCGGCTGTTTTTTGCCGGAGNCCTGTGTTGGATGTTATTTAGGAGCTCTTTGAAATGATGCCTATACCGATCTTTTGAGAACAATTTGAAAAACCAATAGCATAGGAAGCCCACAGTTTTGCTAGAAGGCCACTTGAGGTGCTTGTGCGGATTCCAAGGGTTACGATATCCTAGGCAGGTCAGCTAACTCGTTCCAGGGGAATGGTATTGAACCCAAGATGCTCATCAATTACCACGCCGTGAATTCCTGACTTCGAGTCAAAGTCGTAAGGAGCTCAAAGGGCACATTCGACCCAGCCTTCGATTTGCTGATCTAGCCGATGTTCAAGTACTGGCCTTTGCTCATAGACGCCAATTTTTGGTCGGGGTCCTAAGCCGAATGAATCCGATTATGGGTCATTCGCCTAGCATTGTCTCGTTCAGATCAATGAATTGTAAGGGATGAAAACAGAATTTTTTTGGCACTAGTCATTCCTGAATTTGGGATGCGCTCCCACATGCGACTTTCTTCGAAGTGGTAGTGGTGTTGGAATAGGCATATGACCCTTACAATGTCTGCATAGCTGGATATATAATTGGTAATTCATTCCTTCCAGACGAGTCTGGTAGTAATTAGCAGCTCAAAGGATGGAAGAGTTGGTTGGCCAGGGCAGTATCTGCCCGAAACCTGATCCCTTCATCAAAGTGCCCCTTCTGACCCTACTTACTTTCTTTACAACATTTCTATGTTGATTTGGTTTGGATGTGTGACGTTGGATCGTTGGAAAGAGATTCTCGAAGGGACCCAGGCATGTGTTATTGTCGGGTCAGTTCAGGTGATGTGGATGTCGCCTTTGAACGCCATTCATGACTACATATCAAACTTCTTACCGATTCTGAGTCTATAACTGGATGTAAACTTGTCTCGGAAGACAGAGCCTTGGAGATTGGGTGAAATCAGCTCCTGAACCAACAGTTTTCTTATCTGGAGGTACCGTACTTTTGCACCGTAATGCCTCTTCTCTAATAGGGAATGGAAAAATGGCAGATCTTCGTAGAGATCTGACAGGCTCCAACGTCTATGTGATAACTCCGAAGATGTGGAAATCATTCCAGCAGAGCACCTCATTTTCTCCAATCAGTTGATCAGATAGGCTGCTTATAGTTCGGGTATACAATGCTCTGACAACCTTATCCTAGCCTATCGGATTGTATCCGGAAAATTTATGATCAAACGTAAGTCGACATACGATTTACAGCCCTATGTGTTACCTGTGGGAATGACGGTGGTTGCCTTGGGGACCGCTAAGGTGTAAGCGATTGCGTAGGTACTTCGCCAGTTGCGTGAAGATTTATTACTTGTCTGTATCACTCAGTTATATCCCATCCATGGAACGGAATTTTTATTATCCGTTCGTTTGGAGAGTGATTAGACTGTGAGTTGAACAGGATCAATAATCTTTTTATTGATTCATCTGTTCAAAACTGGGTCTACGACATGAAAAGGAATCGCGGCTTCGAAGGTTTCACCGTGGTGGTGCTAGAACGTCCCCCATCTTGCGCAACTCTTTGTGCAGAAGAAGCGGAACCTAGTTCAAGTACTTCTACAACCTACTTCTGCCCTAAATTATTTCAGTTCAGAAGCTGTAGAAGGCGCGGGCCGAGATTGGATTTCCCAGCTGAAAGAACTTTTCGAGGGCAAGCTAACTGTTACCAGGGTTGATCGTAAAAATGTAAACATCAACTGAAACGACGGCTGGCTTTCACAAGCATTCTGGGTCATCTAACGCTTTCACTCACTTCTACGATTTCGCATAACAGTTGGATGCGTGGCGCGCCTCATCCAATTATTTAGACCCCTACCGTCGCCTTTCTCTCGTCTCTAAATTCTTTCTTGATTTAGTCATGGGTTCAAAATCAGGGATTGCCGAAGGTGCCATGGGGATCTCTTGACTAACTTTGTAAAAAACTAGGAGAAAACAGCTTTATTTTCAAAAACAATTTGACTTGCAATGGGCAAAACGAGGTCGAACCTAAGCAGCCTCTTGTCCCACAATCAATTACTAATCATGCCCCCTCTTTTGATTTTTTTTTTGTAAAATTTTCTATTTTCTATTCCTATGACTTCGAATTTTTGATTATTCACATCAATTTTTCATTTAAAAAACTTGATTTTTTGAACAACCAAAGTTCGAAGAGCAGCAGAACCTTCCTCCTGAAACCGCCATTCTTCCCAAGTGAAGGCCAGTAATTGTTTTCCATGTATTCGGGAAACGTTCTTCTTGGCCATTGGCGTTCTCAAATTAGCACAGTACGGCTAATCGGGTTCTTATGAGCTTTGCAACTTTCCAGTACTGATTTTATCATGAACACAGTCTAATAGCCTGGCTTAATGGACGATGACCATGTCGACGTTGTGCGACCGCCGACGGCAAGCCGACGACGCCGATGTCGTTGGGAATAGCGATTTGTGACGGAGATAACACGTAGAAGGACACACGTTACGCATCCATTACAAACGACGTTTATACAGTAGGGCGCCATTGTGAGAGAATGTCAGAGCAGTCGAGCTCTTTTTCACCACTGAAAGCTGTGATCATCATGTTTTTATGACTGGACCCTGTACTCTGATATAGTTCTTTTCAAGGGTTACTCCCTACCCAACGTAGGGCTTACAACTATCTATGCATGTCTCATCAGTCACCTGTTGTAATCAGTCTCGCCCACACCCGCAGAGCGGCCAGAACCCTCGAAATTAAATAGATAGTTCACAGGCATCTGAATTTGATAAGAGGCGGATGTAGTGGGAATGGGAGTGGGTATCGCACACACGGGCAAGGTTTGAGCACCTTTGAAGTCGAGTATTCTAATGAAACCGCTTATACGAAGGCAAATCAAACCGGCTCAGGAAAGGAGGGACTTCGTAGCCCAGAGGTATTTCCCGAAAACTTTGCTCAGCCGTCCAGAGCTGAGTTAGTCAGAACGTCCATTGTCTGTCACCAATCAAGGGGAGTCAGAAGGACTTGAGTGGTCATGATTGTTGGTCCCTAATTTTCATCCTTCCAAATGTTCCGGATTAATTGAGATTTCACGATTCTGCAGCTTTTTTATACGTAACTCTGTCCGACCTTCCCCAGCCTGATCTTGGTATCGGATCCAATGTGATATCATCGGGTCCCAAACGGGGTGATAAAACCACAGGTGTCCAGTTGTGTCTTGAAGGCTTTCCATTATCAGCCAACCAGCGGTCGGTTCGTCTGTGATGGGGCTACGGAAGGTGTTAATCATGTCATGGCGGTACACATCAAACGCCACAGACGCGTGCCGATTGGTGGGGGCGTGGTCGATTACCGTCCCCACTGACCAATCACGGGTCCGCGGTCCGGCTATACTCAGCCGGGGGCGGAGTTTGCTGTAAACACGCCAAGGCGAAAACGCAACACTTCATTCATCTAATCCCCGCCATAATAAACATGGATGTGCGTGTACGATTAGCTAATGAAGATCTTTGGGCCAAGTTTCACGCCAACACCACGGAAATGGTGGTCACGAAAACCGGCAGGTTTGTGGATCCCTTTCCTTATGTCTTTCATGGATTTTGGAATTTTCGGACAGATACATGTTCCCATTTTTCTGCAGCTCTCAAGCGCTTCTGTATCTTTTTGAAGCTTTTGAAATTTCTTTGAGTGCTGTTTCGTAAAAGGACGCTTCAATCGCTTGGATCCCTTCGCAACAGTTTTGCCTTGTTTTATTGGATCTATTAGTTTCCAATATTTTAAGCTTAATGGCTGAAAATGTATAGCCTTTGCGAGGATTTTGACTCAGGTTTTTACTACTTTACTTCCTCCTCCTTACGCTTAACACTCACTTTTTGTAGATTTTTTTGAAATAAAGAAGGGAGCAGAATAGTTCGCGCTTGCCTTTGTCTTGACTTTGACGTGAGCTTTGACTTAGGAGTAAATTGGCTTGAGCCTTTTCGATATTATGAAGCTTCATTGAGCTGATGTTTCGACCTCTTCACCTTCTTCGGTTTTATAGAAGTGTCCAGCCTTTTAGAAGTAATTTTGGCTGATAAGTTTTGTAATCTGAGGAAGGTACAAGCCAATCACTCCGAAGAGGAACAAGTGTAGACTTCCCACCTTCTGCTTGTTAGAACACCTTTATGTCACTTAGTTACTTTCATTTTATTTTTAAAAGTAACTGGATCGTCTAGCAACCAAAAATCGCGACTACCTCTCCCATTTTCTTACCTTTGTTAGACACTTCGTCACAGTTGTCCCCGTTCGCAATTCTGCAAAAGTCAAAATGAAACGGAAGAGTAGCAGAAGTGGGTTTTCGCTGGAAAGAGTAAGAAGTTCACTATATCTTCTCAGAGTGTATGCCATATCTCTCTATATATCGCCTACTCTTTCCCCATAAGTCATCAGTGGATATAATAAAATGTTTTTTTTTCTCAGAGGGAAGAATAGGAGGGCTCTTGAATTTGTTGTGCAGCATTTCCAAACAAAGAAGAAGCACTTTTTGAGTTCCTTAGCCTGTTGCGCCTCCCCTCATTCAAGGTTTCAACATTGGTAGAGATCTAAAAGTGATATGTCAGCCAAGATTGGCATCATTGGGCTTCGTTCCATCTCTCTTCTACATATTACCTAAGCTTCACATTTTCCAACTTTACCGGTCCACCACATGCAAACTCTTGCTTGGAATCCCACGGAAATCAACGTAAACAGCTGTATCGCTTGACTGTTTCGAAGAATAGATTTTTTTTATATTTTTATGAAATTTAATTTTTCGAATGAGATATGTCGAAGTCATGGTCGAAACATAATGAACAGTGTTAACATAATGAAGACAACTATTAAAAACCTGGAAATTTCGAGTTTTTCTATGCTGATTTCTCTTTCTAAATTTTTCTACTCTTCTCCTGTATTATTTTTTTGCATAGCAATTTATCAATTTTTCTCACTATGACTTCACTTCTTTACAGTTCCTGGCACGCCGCCATACTTCTTCTCGAGAATTTTTTTAGGGGAAAAAATTTTCACGGGAAGTTGCCTCTGCTTTTTTTTCAACTTATTCTTCTGCAGCACTCTCCTTGACTTCCTGTTAACTGTGAAAAAATATCGAAAAAATTCATCGAGAACTGTTTTCAAAAATCATATCGAGACGCTCCATGTACTTGGTCCTCAGAAAAGTTTCATATGTGTCAAGCTTTAAACGGTACAGGGTTACTGTAACTATATTCAACACTGCCACAATTAAAAAAGGAGAATGTGAGAAGCCTGCAGATGTTTAATTACTGATGAATTATCTTTCTTACTCGCACATTCTTCTTTTTTCAGGAAAATGTTTCCAAAATTGGAGTACATAATAGAAGGACTGGATCCAAAGCTTGCATATTTTCTTGCACTCCAGATTGAGCAGGTCGACGATAACAGGTTTGCTCCTCGCAGATTTTAGTACGGTGCCTATTTGTTAACCCTTTCACATACTCCAGCACATATAACTTTCGTATTCACTAAGTAATTCCAGTATTGAAGGTAGTATTGAAAGTACTGAACGGCGAAATGCCGTGGTAAGGGGATGGCAATGCTCAGTGTTTACAAACTCCCTGGGGCATCCCACGCGTTCTACCTTCTGTTCGGGAACGGAGTGGTCTCTGAATGTGTTCAAAACCTATCCAGAGGATAGTGGCAGTCTACGTCGAACTAGGTACCAGATATTGGGAGATATTATGTCGTACGTATGGGTGAGCTCTGTCAACCTGGCTGGGATCCAAGGGAGATTTTGTGCTTGTGATGTTAACGCTGCTTGGAATTGCTTTGTTACCGCAAAGTTCTGTCCCAGGAGATCGCGCTGCCTGCTTTCGTAGAAGGACCACGGTTTTTTTTCTTAAACTTTGTTTCGAAAGGAAAGGTCACGAATGATCAGCCATGTCGATGGTTCATCAAATTCACTAGCTTTTTTCAGGTATAAGTTTTCTGGTGGTGAATGGAGCCCAGCTGGTCGAGGAGAATGTGGAACAGTCTCGAAAAGCGTTACACACCATGACACCATCATGCCCGGTGCCCATTGGATGCGACAGCCGGTGAACTTCGAACGAGTCAAAATCACCAACAACTTTAGTGATATGAGCCCGAGCCATGTGAGTTCCATCTACAGCAATGCCATTTCACTCTTGCTATGGAGAGTCTAAACATACGATTCCTGATCGAGATACCTATGACTTTGAATTTTGTGAGGCGAGTTGATGCCAATGTTTCCATTGGTTTGATACCTAGTTAAAGTATGCGAAAAGGTGAAAATCCTGGTTGGTCAGATGGGATGAGGTTGGGGGATTCCTACACGGGACTGTTCATGCGCTGGCGCCGCCATTCGTCACTGCCCCATATTTGTCGAATAATTTCGTTTCATTTTGTTGTGTACCATTGCGATTCTAAATAAAGGATAAAGGCATGGCGTTAGTGTGGGTAGTCTGGGTTTTTCATGCCTAATCAATCAGCTGGAAGGTATTATTAATTTACTTTTTAGAAGATTAAAAATTAGATGCTTTTCGCTACAGTAAGAATTCATACTGTCACATTTTTCCAGTAGTTTTGCAATGGTTTTCGTAGAAAAAGCTGCTCCTGCAAGGGTGTTCACTGACCGTGGGGTAGTACTGTTTATGATCCTAATGAATCCAATAGAGAACCCTCACTTTCTATTACGTGGCTGAAACTTATTTGGTGTAGGAAGAATAACCAAGTGCGGGGAAGTTTCCTCCCATGCTGGTACACAACTCGTTTTCCAGACACAGCTCGTTTCCCGGTCTTTTTCTAGTCTTTCTAAAAAGTTGTACTGGTAGTCGGATGGACCCATTAATTGACTCCTTTCTGTTCTTTATTGATAGTCGTCGAAACTGTGTTATTAAGTTGTAAATGTCATTGAACACAAGAGTTATTAGGGTCTAAGATGGCGGTGTGCCGTAGTCGTATCTGATCAGATCAGATCGTTCCGACAAAGCAGCATTGGACAGGCCAGACAACGGGACGCACTCCCGGACTAGCGACATCACCTTGCTAATTGGCATCGATAATTGTGGCATAAGGAATGCCAACAATAATGGGATTAAAGAAGATTAGAGTTAACCTAGTGCAAAATGAGTTCCTATGGAAGGGCAGCTCCTATGGTTCGAGCAAGTCGAGCATCCTTCTTGCAAAAGCTAGATTCGAATTATCGGACGAAAACGCTCAAGGCAGAAGCCATACGAAACGCATTGAAAGGCAGTGGGCTGAGTCAGTCAGTCACGGACCCCGCCCACCATTAGTTCATGCTTATCGAAATGTTGTCTTGTCATCTCTCCTGTTTTCTGTTTACTTCAAAAAAAGATGGCCATGGTCGGAGGCTTTGGGTTGGAGAGAAAAAAAGAAAGGGATGAGAAAAAAGGCGACCCCACTCCCTGAGAAGCGTTCGAACACTGCCTTAGTCCAGGGACGAGTGCGGAAGGTCTTTTCGCTTCATTTTTGATTTCATCTAGGAATCGAGCTCTTGGCATATTCCGCCTTGTTTTGGGTATAACTCGTTGTCCCTTTTTGCCAATTCATAGGAAACAAAAGGCGAAACCCCGACTCGTGACCATAATCGAATCCTTCCCGCTTTTCCCTATACCTCTTGAGCTACGGATCGGGTGGTTACGATGGGCGTGACGATTTCTCCGTAAGTACGACGACAACATTAATCGATTCAGAGATGTGTCAATTGCGTGATCTGACAAACTTCTGCTTATCTACTGACGTCTCCACGTCGATTACGGTACAGCGGGACGTCGGCGGTGATTGTGACCAATAGATAGCGGACCGCATCCATCGTCGAACAAAAGCCACGCAATTGACTGACATCAGATCGGTGACGACGATACGCATACACGCGAGGTCGTGATTCGTTCACGACGAGCACTTATGCGATGTCATAGCTGCACGCTTGGATACGGTAGCCACAAATGGGCACATTGGTCACTACGTCAGCCCTGTCTGTGACTGCAAAAGTTGGCCCCATCAGAGGGAACCATGGGTCTTATCAAAGATGCTCTTCCAGTTTAGGGGAAAATGATTGTATGGCCATCTCAAACGAGGTCATGAGTTCTGGAATCCTTCAGGGGTAAAAGATAAACTGTTTGGGCGCTGGTCAATCTCGTCCGAGGGATGCGCCCCACATTCGACTTCCCATCAGAATCGTAGTGGCATATTGAATGCGTATGGGGCCTATACAATGACTTGCGATATCCAGCCGATGTACAAGTTAGCGCTTTTATCCTCCCAGACGGGTCTGGTACCAATCAACCGGCCTCAGAGAGACGAAAGGCTTGCTTAGTCTAGGCGGATATCGATCCGGAATTCGAACCCGTGACCATGCGTGCGTCTTAGTCTGCCACTTGCCGCTTCACTATATCCGCCCGCTGCTATCCCTGTTCTTCATAATATGGTCCCAAATAGCTGCATAAATTATAATGACATTGGAATATTCATATTAAAATCTATAAAACTTTTGCCAGAAAAGGCATCGATACCGTAATCATCAGGATCACAGACGATTTCACCCGAGGACCGCGCGACGGTCGTTAGAAGTCGCGCGTCCCTCATAAACCGTCGAAATGACCATAAAATTGACTATAACCTGTATTGTTCCAAACCGGACATTGTCTATCAACTACCATGATCGATTATCGATTGCATTTCAGATATTCCTTCAATCAATGCATAAGTACATACCTGTGCTGAGTATATTCGAAACGCCATCACTTCCTTCAGCATCAACAAAGCAGGTCAGAAAAATTACGCTTCGAAATTTTGTTTGTACTCTTGGGTAGACATCGTTTGTGGGTAGAGACCTTCTCCCACCTGTAAGAAGGGTTAAATCATTGCAACTCCGGGGTCAGAACGTATTTTTCATTGGAAGCTTAACCGACCGATATTGTTGTCCAGGGTTTTCGAGGATTTTATGGTACCGCACAATCTATAAAATGCCGGAAATGGGTGTATTTCTATGAATCCAAAGCACAATTCACGATAATTTCGAGGTGCTGGGAGTGTTGGTGCATTGATAGACAATAAAAGCGTCTACATCTAGGAAATCCGCAAAAATTCAATCAGGAAATCCCAAAAAACCTTCTTGTTGTGGATTGGCCTTTAAATATCTCGGACTCGGGACGCAATGGCTAATCTCAGTCTGTCACCCAAGCGCCGGAAATAGTTGTTCTGAATTACACTTGAGTACGTGGCGCATCCCGTAGTGATAACCCTACGAGAATAGTTTTGTTCCCATTGGATTGATCTGGAAGTAATCAGTAAGAATGTCTGTTGTAGGTTGCCCGGATCCGAATACCCGAGACCGAATTCATCGCCGTGACCGCTTATCAGAACACTACCATCACTCAGCTGAAAATCGAGCACAATCCATTTGCGAAGGGTTTCCGTGACGGTGGTGAACGAAAGCGATCAACGCCCGAAGACTGCTCGGTGAGTTAAATAATCAGCTATTTATTTTTCTCCCAACCAGGAAAAGGGGGTGATCGCAGCGTAGCACGCCTTAGCTGGTCAGCTTGGAATCAGCCGCTTACGCGGCGAGCGAAGTGTCGCGCGGTGGTTGCACCTGTTGCTACTCGTAATTACACGTTTAACCATTTGCCAGTGACTATTTGAGCACTTATTGTAGTTTTGGCACATCCGCGAGGCAGGCGGTCCACTTGTATTGTCTGCCGCATGCGTGGCCGCGCTCAGCAAGCGGAACTCGCGCGACGTTGAACTCTGACCTATTGTCACACATTCTTCGTGCACCTTTGAGCGGGTATTGACGCGTGGCATGGTCCTGAGATGAAAATATTATAAATCCATACCTTTCAGGCAACGCCATCACCAAAACGTGTCTACTCACCACATCAACATCCCTACGCCGCTCTCTTCGACAAGCCGATGCCAGTAGTGGCTACGTCAGCACCACAGTTGGCGATGCCACCATTGTGGCCAGCATTCTGTCCACCATACTGGAGTCCCTATACTTACATGTTGAATCCCTTTTTGGCGAGATTTGGCGCTGCACCGAAATAATATGTCTCCTTATATGACTGTGACGCAAGCTATGTAGATACGGTCAAGCGTGGCGGTGAGAATTTTGATTCCGTCAGTATGACATTCACTATAACTGGAGATTTTCCACTGTACCTTCTGTACGTAGTCTCTTTTAAGCGGCTTTACCTAACTTTCACAACCTCGCTTTTCATAATTTGAACTGGATTTTTTGGAATTCGTCCCTGGTCCCTGGAGCTGGACATAGAATTCTCTCCGAAAGTAGGTCGACTTGCTAAACAATATCCAGCATCCAATGGGCTCGCACGCGTTTGGCACTTCATAGGATTGAATCGATCTATTCCTGCAAATCGGGTACGATAATCATGTTCGATGAATCAAGTTGCCCTGGGAACTAGTTTCACCGGGCTTACTAGTCCAAGTTGTTCGGAAGCGGGCGCCCACAGCTGGTATGCCGGAAGTTCCTGAGTTTAACGGATGGCATGTCATGTATACGTGGGCGAACTGTTCCCCGAGACAAGTTTCCATCGAATTCCATCTCCTGGGGGCAAAATCAGAGAAAATCCATGAAATTGTGGAAACCTGGGTTATAAAAGCTTAGTACCGTGCCTTTCCGTTCCCCTGTGCTCTTGGACTGTGGAACAAGGGTGTGGAGTGATGTGACTCCGATTTAAGTGAACTTTTTCAAAATATAGAGCATTTCCTGAGGTGAAAAGCGTTATGGAGCTTCCATTCCTTCCATTTCTGTGGGAGCGATTGTTTTGTAATAATAATATATGTGTGATTAATGTTGTACAGTGATCGTATTGTTGTGAGTTGTTATCATTTATGTGTGACTAACTTTTTTGACAAATGAAGAATTACAAAGAAAGAATGCGATAAAATTAACAATAAATGGCTGAGTCTAAGGCTTTTGGCTTCAATCAATCCACTTTCTGGGATGCGCCACACACTCAACTTCCATTCGGAATCGCAACGGCTCATGTATGCGTGTTTAGCCGAAAATGACTTGTTGTGGTCTATCGATAAATAATACTTCACTCCACACATGTTTCCAGACGAGACTGGTACCACTTAACCGACCTCAAAGGAATGAGAGCTTGATTCTACGGGTAAATGTCTATGCGGGATTTCATCGCCTGATCATGCCTACGTAATATTGTACCAGCCACTACGCTACATCCGGCATACGGCAAGATACAGAAAAAAATTAATCTGGACAAGTAAAAAACTCCGATTCTAATTTTCCTGTTTTTTTTTTCTTCTAAATCGACTCCAGTGTTCAAGGAGAAAGTGGAAACGCAGAGGTTTCTGTTTCTCTGTAAACATCACAATAGCTGGCGTAAATATCCAACTGCTCAGCCAGTTACAGCTTTCTTATGGAGCACTTACACTGAGAGAACACAAAAGACAAACATTGAGCTCTCACCTGTAGCGCTATGCATTCGGCTTCCATATACAATTAACCCAGCATTTGAGTGTATGCATACCCACTCATCTACGTACTGTATCAGATGTATTTTGAAACTTTATGCCTTCAGTCAATCTCAGTGTCAGGCAACTGGTTTCGGAAACTCGAAAGTATTGCCTAGGAGACCACACCTAAGATTCTTTTAAAGGTTCTTAGATACACCCCATGGCCTTGTCTCACATCCGTTTCCTCTAATGTTGGTGTTCCATAGAGTCCCAATAATAAGTTCACACCAATGAGCTAGCTGTATTTAGCCTTTGTTATTAATAATAGTAAAATACAAATTTTATTGACTTGACGGTATTTTCTCCACTCCGGTCTCATGGCAACAAACTATAGGCTCCGCAATCCTCGAAGAGCTTTCAACTTCATTTCATTCTCACTCTATTAAGTGAAACTTTCGTAGCGGATTCCAGAAAAGGTTCTAAAGTTATGGAACGTTTTGAGTGGAACAACCTCGTTTTATAGGATGCGCTCTGCATTCGACTTCCATTCAGGATCGCAGTGGCGTTTTGAAAGCATGTGTGACCTATTAAGTGACTCATGAAGGTTGGCCATTGTTTTGTCAAAGTTTTTCATTCTCCCTGACGAGTTTGGTACTAATTGGCCAGTCCAAAGGAAAAAAGGCCTGGCGGTATAGATATGAGATTCCACTCCCAGACCAAGCGTGTTAAAGTGTGTTATAGTGGGCCATTTGCGTCAACCTCATGGAAACAGCAAATCCCCTTCTCAGCCTTTCTTTCTACGGGAATGGGGGCGACCATGATAGAATGGGCGAAGGGAGGAGTTCTCTTCTGAAGTAAATTCCTCAGGGTCACACTTTCCTGACGTTACCTTTACTGTTGGCAGGCTATACCCTCATTCAATCCGACTATTTGAAGTTGAAAGGACAAGATGAAACCGACCGCCTGGAAGCAACGCACTTGCGCTACGTCCTGCAGTCACAGACTCATTCGCAACAAAGGAGCGGTCTGATAAAGAGATGATCAGATCTGGTAAATGCCCCGAAAGGCTCGTGACACAGCCGAAGGCCGTTTGTAAGATGATACGGAATATCAAAGGTACAACCGCTTTCACCAAAAGTCGTCCCCCTTCCCCATTCCGGCTTATCTCTGGAATCATACGGGAATTAGGCATACATGAGAGAACTCCGAACGAGCATCTAGTTGATTTTACATAGGAAAAATCTTTATTAGACCCGCCACAAGCTCTTCTGGATTGCGCCATGCACTCGAGATAAATCCAATAACTTTGGGTCTTTTGGAAGCTTAGGGAGTTTAAACTTTCAGTCGTGCAGCCCCTTAAATCTACATCTTCATTTTGGGAGATGTGAAATCACTCGACCTAGCCTAGAGAGGCAAAACACTCGTTGGGCACTTATCTCGTAGATAGTGTAATGGTGACAATACATAAGCAACTGTGCCATACCCTGTCCAGTCGTCCGAAGCCTATCTAACTGACCAGACGTGATGTAAATTTGTATTTTTTACACGATCAACAGAACTAGTAAAATTAGATTGATATCGATTTGACCTACAAATTGACCAACAGGTCGTTTTCGATAACAGGCTGTCGTTCCCCACCCCATCCCTGCTGCCACACCATCATCGATCAGACCACCTTGGCTTTTCTCTTCCTCTTTTTTTTTTTCATTGAATTTTTGAATATAGTGCAGTTGCAGCTGCAAAAATGCAAAAGTGCAGTTTTTCTCAGAAGAGCTAGTACTTTTCACAGTCCACTTTTCAAATTCATGCGCAATGTTCTCAGAATGCATATGAAAGCTATCTGTAGGGATTTATCCTAGTAATATGGCCGGTTGCTTGATTCTTCAACGAAAGACGTTTTTTTCTGAATTCCTAAAAATCCGATTTGAAAAAGGACAATGCCGTTTTTAAGCGTTTCTGTAAAGTAATCGGGAGCGTTCAGTTCTTACAATCAGTCAGGTATTATAGGGAAGATTCCCCGGGGTACATACCTCGGTCCATGCCCATAGCCAAGAATCCCTCTAAGCCTTTATATGCAATACTATTTTTAGAACAAGCAACGTAGCAGTGTTCATCAAAAATGCATGATCAGACGAAACATTGCCGTTGGCACGCTCATAGCAGATTTGGCATAGCTGGGCACTCCCTATGTTACTTTCACCCTCTTTCGTTTTCTTCTGAGACCTTTTATCGTGCTCCTATGCTGTTACTGGTACTTCATTCGAAAAAATGAAAGCTGACATGAAATCGGAGTTCCATTGGCCGACAGTGAAGCCCTACTTATGTACGGCTCAATATTATTTATACTTCCTCAATGATTCTAATTAGCTTCTTCTAGTACCAGTGATTCCAATTTTTCTGTCATGAGTTTTTGAGACATTATTGATCGGTACAGTTTGCCTGCCACTCACGCGAGCGGTCGCGTTGCGGTGATTACTGCTACATTCTGAAATGTTTTGCCTATTTGCGCTTTTCAGGTTCACCATTCGTATAGCTAGGAAGCGTAAGATTTATTCGCAGCTTAACGTGACTCTCTACGTTCAACAGTTTCACAACTTTTCTGTTTGCTGATCTGCACATAACAAAAAGTTCTTTACTGCTCTGGATCATACTAGCCGGTAGGCGTCAGCGATGAGTGGGTAAAATTTGTGGACAAATGAATATCAAGTATAAATACCAGTAAGTAAATCAGGCTAATTTTTTCGATGGAAGTAGCCACGGTCTACGGTCTTTAATCAACTATATTGTAACTATGCTATGCTTGCAAATGATCGCGCCGATGGTTCGAGGGCGATAAGTCAAAAGTTCAGTTAAATGGAAAACCTTTAAGATAAGTCATTTCGAATGATTATAAATAAAGTAAGGAAGTGACATTAAGAACAAGAAAAAAATAAAAATTCTGTATTTGATGCTTGCGGAATATAACATAGATTGTATTCCCTTTCGAATATGAATGTTGCAGAGGAAGCCTGCGCAGTTTCGATCGAAAAGCGCTTACGAGTGATATTTAGTCGTTTCAGCACCTTTATTTTCTCTTTTACCTCCCATGCCAATCCTTCGAGGTTATTTTTCCCTAAATAGCACATCAGCCTCAATACTGTAGTATTGTAATGTAGTCAACACTATGCCCATTCAATCTATATTTTTTCCAAGTTTTTGATTCGTAGGTTGAACATTTCTATTGGGATTAAACTAGCGCTCTTGTCCATTGAAGTAATCTAAAATCCCTCGAAATCCACACACCAAAACTTATAATGCTCAGTTGTGCTCATAGACCCCGCCCATTCACCAGCGACGCCCACCTGCGGGTATGATAAGGGCAACAAAGTACATCTGTTATAAATAACATATGCACGAACAAATGGGAAAGAAAATGCGTGGAGCTGTAATCAGTGCTGAAGAAGTTAATAGTTTTTAGTATGAGGTGCGATCCAGAGAATTCGAGTGAAACTACCCTCTTTATCGGATTTCAATTTACCAGAAAACGACTCATTTATGTTTTTTAGAGCTATCCACCTTTTTCAGGAGGGTCAAGAGCCACTGTTTTCCAGAATATCATTAATGTTCACAGCAAGCAATTTCAGTATCACAATCAGATCAAGAAGCAACTGAAGAATGTATTCTGTAGAAAGGATTGATTAGGGTAATTGGTACTCATTTCGCCTTCTGAAAAATTTCGAATCAACTTTGGTTCACGTTTCCGCTTTTATAACGACCATGTTTGCTATTTTGGCTTATGCTTGAGGTGTTAAACAATTCAACCTTGCAATTACCGATTTCCGACGCTTACAGTCATAATCTTTTGGTGCTAATTTCCATGTTTTCACAGTAATTACACTAATCAGCTGTGAACAATCGCCTTATTTCGATGTCTTCAACGCGAAAATCACCCCAGTTCCGGTGGTTCACACCTGAACCACCTGACGTCAGAACCTTGCGGCCATTGCGTGGGCGGAGCTCAATCGGATTGCGACGTGCTCTTCCTGCTTGAAGTATTTCATTTGCCGTTGTTTTTTTTGCTCATTCTTTAGCTGAGTTTTTATGGGTTTTCAGTGGAAGAACCGCTATACAAATACAGTCTTATAGCGTAGAGCTGGTAATTTTCTTTGACGAGACCAGCTGGTAGCAACTATGTTGGTTCATTTCACAAGCCCACAACATCCGTGTAGGCTTAGCCTAAAAAAAAGGATCAAGGATGTAGAAAAATCCGGCTTCTTTCTAACTCTAACAGATAGCCGATGCAATGGTCTTCGCGTTCTTCAAGTTCTACCGCATGCAAGGACGGTCCTGCGACCCAAATAGCTTAGATTCTCACAAGTTCCATTTCGTCATCAGAATGAGTAGAATCATGAAATAGGACGGCCCCAAATACTGCTGGGTGGTGGGTATCTTTCCGAGACGCGCCGCACCCTTGAAAGCACAGTTCACGATAAAAAATGTTTTGAGAGATACCCCTTAGGAAATATTTGTGGCTCCCTCGTATACCACATAAGGCGCTGTCACGTCGGAAACGGCCTAGTTGGGGCGTTATAAAGGATCAAAGGCTACACCATATGTGTCCTCGGACGAGTTATACTGACACTGCAGAGGCTGCACCAATCACGAGGGAACTCATGTAAGATGATACAACTTGTCATGTCCCATAGCAACAGTGGAGGTCAGTCCTGTACAATTCTGACTTGACGTAGTCAGCTCCTGTCGCAATGTCAACAACTGGAATCTCGTTCGAATAACTCTATGTTGTTCTCGTCACGGTAATCTCGTCCAAGCTCTATTTCCATTTTTTGGTAGCCTTATTTTTCTCGAAATCGGAGAATTTACTTGCTTTTTGTTTACTACCGATTAAATACTCCCAACCTATATATTCTTCTGTTGTTTTGACTAAAAGAGGGTGTCTAGAAATTATCGTGAACTGTGCCTTTAGGTTCTGTCTAGAGCTGTGGCATTTGTGAACTCTTACCAGTTCAATCAAATAGTGCATGCATTGTAACAGTAAGACTCTCATTTTCGTGCGGTGACGTCATCTTCCGGTAAAACTCATCTCAAAATTGAGAAGAAGGATTCTAAATGGAAAATTGGAGACGTCAGCAGCGCGCTCGCGGGTCGGCCCGCGGACTATGAAAGCAGCCGCAAAGGCGGGTAGTGGGGTACCAGGGGATCTGTATCACAAGTTCACAGGACGTTAAAATCCCTCTAATCCGACAGTTAGGGAGGCACTTCGAAGCGAAGATTTTACCGGTGTGTGACTTCGAGGTCTGCCTCACTGCGACTGCGCGCTTGCTTTCTGTGTACTGCTGCCACTGCGCGAATGACAGCATTGGCTGAGAGAGTCAATTTGGATTGATCTTCTCTGCATCTGTAATTAGAATGTTCTATCATTGGGGTGATTAAAATTGAATTCTTGTTTGATCTAGGAAAGGCAGTACACAGAGTGGGGTACCAGGGGATCTGTATCGTTTATGAAGCAGCATTGACTTGATTCCCACGTTCGAATTCTTTTTCTGTCACTACTTGCTTTACTTTTATTTTTAAGCCAATTTATTTCCAGTTTTATTAGTAGTTTATTTTAGTTTTTCTATTTTCCGTTTTAATTGCATTTTTTCCCTTTTTCTGATAGATTTGTGCTTCGTATATCGACTCAGATCTGCGTAGCGACCGAAGCAGCCGAACTCACAAGCGTACGCATTGCTCTTATATACATTAATCTAATTTCAATCCTGCTCAGAAGGGTTACCGTTTTCCGTTGCTGCTTTATTCTACTGAAAACTATCCAAGTAACACGTATAAATTATGCAATAGGAAGTTACGGTAGGAGTGGATTTACAGTGATGATGAGATTCGATAGGAATTTCCGGCCTCCTTGCAAGGCAGTTAAAATCGCTACGATACGATAGTCCCCTTATGAATAAAAAATTCTAGAAGCTCAATTTCCGAATATCGAATACGCACTGTCATAAGTCAGTTCCAACTTCCTCTCCATTGCTTTCCGGGCTTCATCGAGTCCCGGCAAAAAGTGGGCGGACCCTTGAGGTGTGGGGCGTGAATGGTTGATAGTGCGATACGGTAATTAGGTATTTCCGAGTGTCATCAAGCTGACATTAGCACCTATCAGGTTCAGTAGGTACACCCTCATGCAGTCGCCTGCCAAATGATTTTCTTAAATCTTCTGTTTCTATTTACATCACCTATTCATGTACCTTTTCCCCGTTTTACCTGTCGAATAGTTGTTGTAGCTGCTCATAAATGGAAATCAATCCGTTCAGATGTCACATTATTCTTCAACGATTGGTGCCACTCTAGTCACCGAGGGTTTATGGCGCAAATTTCATCAGCATACCACTGAAATGATCGTCACGAAAAGTGGCCGGTAAGTTTCTAACCTCATGAATGACCGCTTGGGTCGAATCTTTCATGCAATACTTGATTTTCTATTATTTTTCAATTTTCAACGGTTATGCAATACTTCTATTGGCAGAATTTTAAAAAATTGCTCTCTGATGGGTTCCACTCAAGGAAAAAAAGCTGAAGGGTCCGCTTGAAGGCAACCACCTTTTGAGACCTAGAGGCCTTGAAATTGATGAAAGTTGTTGCTTCAAATTTTTTCGGGAAGGGCAAAAAGGGTCAAAAAGTGAAGATATGGATCATCTCAGTAGAAAGCGCTGGAGAAAAGAGTTGGCGTATTTTTGATTCTATTGCTAAGAAAAAAGTAAAGAGATTCCTCCAACGTGGCTTCTCATGATTCTTTTTCTCGTCGTATAAGCCTATACTTCTTTCGAGGATTTCAGAATGGGAGCTTACTTTCTTTTTCAGGAAGATATTTCCCAAACTCGAGTACAAGCTTCATGGCATGGACCCAAATGAGTCATATGCGTTAATGCTACACATTGAAAGGGCCGACGATATGAGGTGAACTTACTGTACCTATTTTATTTTCCTTACCTTGAAAACTGGTTTTTTTCTACCCTTTAGACTACGCTAATTTCCCTGGGCATTATCTTCGCAGCATCCAAGTCTAAAGTGGGATTAGTTTCTTCTTTCTTAGTAGGATATGGTTATTGGCTCGAGCCTTCCCAAGATTACACAACTTCATTGAGCTGGCGTTTCGGTCCGTTTCGGTCGGAATGATAACCGATCGAGATCGATCCCCACATTGGGCCAGACAATACCAAGAACGCCCTCCAAAGCCAAGGCACCCTGCACCCGATCAATGCAAGAGAGTTACATGGCTCACCTTGATCTTGAACTCAGTAGGGCTGTATGACCACCCAAGAATGAGCATTATTAACTACAGTAGTTGAGTGCTGTCATATGTTTATCTATGGGAATAATTCTCCGTGAGGTCGGTTGAGCTTGTTTTCTGCAACTCAGTGGGGAGAGGGCTGTGAGGGGGAGGGGAGGAGGATCGTACCCTGCCAAATACTTCTATCCAACAAGACCATGTTTGGACCACCAGCCAGAGTTCTCTTTTCAGGTACAAGTTCAGCGCAGGAGATTGGTCAACAAATGGGAAGGGAGAACCGCCAACACCATCTCGTGGTGTTCCTCATCATGACCTTACAATTGACACCGGCCGAGGATGGATGAGCAAGACAGTTGCATTTGATCGAGTAAAAGTCACGAACAATCAGCAAGACACGGATACGTTCCATGTGAGGATTTTTGCAATTTTCAGAAAAGAACTTTTAGGAAACAGCTGCTTCCTAAAGTCGTTGGGTACAATTTTTGGTCATTTCTTTGCAACACATGCCAGCGCGTGCGCTCCTCATCTATCAACGAGTATTTTGATGGATCGTCTCAAATCCATCACCGTTAATAGGAATGAACTTCCTAATAAGGCGACCAGCGTTTTCCCATAGTACAGAGGCTATTGTTTGTGTACTCATCGTTTTCCCAATGGCCAATAAGCTGCTTAGCCGTTGAGAACGCCACTGGGGAGATTCACAGCGATTTGGCTATTCTATACATTACCTATAGTCACGCAAAGTCTACGAACAAGGTCATCACAGACAAGTGTCTCTGACTTTGCTGAGCAATGTTCTCCGGGATACAGTAATGGATCGTAGCCGCTGTTTCAGTGGAAAAATGTCAGTTTTTGCGGAAATTCGATCACAAAATGGGGCTTTAACGAGCTTCCGAAGAGGACCGATTTGATACCCGAGATATAGACAAATATAAAGGTTTAATAGTAATAATTATATCCTATATAACAATATTATAGCTGGTTAGGTATAACTTAAAGCTGCCTTGATCCTCGCCCACTGACCAATTCATGCTTTGAAGCGGCTAGCGACATTGCGACATGCGTTCGATCGATATTCATTTTTTATGTACCATTGAGCGATTTGAGGCCCTGCGGAAAAGGATTGTATCATAGATACAAGTACTAGTTGTGTTCGCGTGTCGTCAATTATTTTATTAATAAGATAAGATCTAAATCCACTAATTTCTACGGAAGTATCGTCGATAACCTCAATTAAGGTAGGATGACCGGATTTGTTCTAATGGCCAGATGAACAGTGTGATAGGAATCCCCATGGTAAATCACGTCCTTTACTAATCTTTCCTAAAGTTAGATTAAGAAAATGATGAAGGATAAATTCTTTGGTGGTTCATCAATCCCGTCTGGGAAATGGCCCCTGCATCGTAGTAAGGTATAGTGGCTGGACTATGTTCAACTCAGTCAGATTCTTCTCCTTACAGTCGAGTCTGGTACCAATTAGACGACCCTGGGACCCTGGATGGATGGAAGGCTTGATTGTCTTGGGTAGGTATAGGTCCCGGATTCGTTCCCAGGAGCATGCAGGAGTGGTAGTGCACTTCTTGCCACTGCGTTACCTGTGCCGAAGGTCATGCTGGAAGCCTAGATAGGAGGAAGCTGTAAACATAGCGATTTCCCTGAGCCATTAATGACCAACTCATGATAAAATATTTTTTAGAGAAATAATTTAGATTTTTTCTAGGTTATTCTTCAATCGATGCACAAATACGTTCCGGTCCTGTACGTCTACCAAATGCCAGATACGATAATGTGGTTGAACCAGAACACGCCAGCATTAGACCCGTCCTTTTTGGTTGCAGCCATAAGGTACGTGAACCTTATAGTCAGCTTTCTTTTTTCCTGAGGTAGCTGGTGACTTGCTCAGTTCCGTTTGAGGCACCTTCCACCACCTCTGTAGGATGCCAATTAGGCGACCTCCATGAAGGTGTAACTTTAATTTGTGCAAAAAAAATTGACTCTGTGAAGAAAGCAAATGCAAATTGCTTGTCATGAAATACATCATGTTAAAAGATAGGAGCATACAGCTTTCGACATCAGCCAGTCGACAAGCAATTTGCATTTGCTTTCTTCACAGAGTCAATTTTTTTGCACAACTTAAAGTTACACCTTCATGGAGGTCGCCTAATTGGCATCCTACAGAGGTGATGGAACGCATTTTGGGATGCGCCACGCATCCAACTTGCACTCAGAATCGTAAAAGCGTTTTGTTCTGAGTGTGTATGTGGCCCATCAAAAGACTTGAGGTGGGCCTTCGATGTGGTAGTTGGTGCTTCTATCCTCCAAAACGAGTTCGATACTAACCAGTCGATCCTTGAAGGATGGACTGCTTGGTTGTCATGGGCAGATACCGATCTTTTGATCCGCGGACCATGCCTATGTAATAGTGCACTTTTTTCTTATCCGTGGGTATCGAAGGGTTGCCGAACTTAGCTGAAAGAGCACGAAGTCGTTTTTGTGAGACCTCATTCCTTGAAATCCCTATAGAAATAGCAGATCCAGTGAGAAAGACTATGAAACTTGAGTGTAATGTAATTATGAGAGCAATCAGCGACTTTGTTCGCGTTCTTTTTCAGTCATTGGTCGTTAACTCATCAGCTGAAATGACCACAATTGCTCTTTCCAGGTTCAACTTCACAGAGTTCATTGCCGTAACTGCCTACCAAAATAACGAAGTGACTCAGCTCAAGATATCGCACAATCCTTTTGCCAAAGGTTTCCGTGAAGGTTCAGAACGGGATCGAAAACGAGCGTCGACCAGTCCGCTCTTCAGTGAGCCATCACCAAAACGCATCTCACCCACAGCAGCTTCGGATGTAAAGGTGAAATGCGAGCCCTCGTTTGGAAGTGCATTCCTGTTCCCATGGACAGCTCCTGTAGCAGATTCAAACTCTCCAAGGAGCAACGAAAATCGCCCTCCTGCCATGCCATGGTATAACTATTATCAGCATCCATTCTACTCACCATTACCGTATTATTACCCTTGCATGCCAAATTACTACCCAACGACAACTCCAGAGTGTTAGCTCCTAGCAGATCATTAGAACTTACGGGAATATATTAGGTTGAGCATTCTTCAATTGTAAATTTAGTTGTGGATTTGTTTCATATGGATAGGACCTTACTGACTACATTCTATGGCTTTTGTATTTTATAGTTGCACTATGTCTGGAGATGGGCTACAAATTGAAATGTGTCTATTTCTGAATCATGTGGGTGGCAGCCAACAACTTGGTCGTTTGAGTTGTGTTTTTGAAGGCTTCGGAATCGGAGGATCTAGGAGCAAATACCAAGGGGAGACCACTTCTACCACCTGTTGTCCGGTTGATCATCGATTTGCTCAATCGAGCGTCACTGGCTGCTTTCATAGTTCGCGATTTGGCCCGCGAGAGCGCGAGCGAGCGACGGGGGCGGCGCTTGCCCCTTGTTTACAATTGAATCTTGGTGGGAGCCGGTCGTTTGGCGCGATGGGCGGGGTCGCGCCGCCCATTTGAGGCGGCGCGAACGACACCCATCTTGGTCGATACCGCCGGACGAGTAAACCTCCATGGCTCGCTCGCGGGCTATGAAAGCAGCCAGTGACGTCTCAACTCGTCCTTGTCGCGAGCCAGAGTAGCCCAGTGGATCGTCCTCGCTCGAAGGACACGAGGCATAGCATTCGCTTCGTTCAGAGCTTTCGCGAAGTCTGAATATCGCTCTGTTGGCCGTTCTGGTGCTCTCTATATGGAATAAATGGGCAGAAAGTACTCTCGTTCCCCCTCGTTGGATTTTTATCTTCATGCTTGACTATTCGAGATTTTCCTGGCAGTAGGTAGAAGGTATTCGAAGTTACCATGACAAGTAGATTGCTCATGAAATTGATCTCATTGTATCTGGATTGCTCAAAAGGGTAGTTGTCTTGATTCGTTATTGTTTTGCAGGGTAGACTTCTGTTCCAACCGATCTCGCTAGTACGATCTATATTAATTGTAATGTTAAGCGTTTAGCACTATTTTACATATTCATACCCCTAATAGGGTTTTCAATCGGTGCTATTTCATTCATGTTCCTTCATGTTGCTATGTTTTATATATGTTTGTAAATATTGTCTATTTATTAATTATAAAATCGATTAATACCGTTCCATAGTTCAAGTGGTTGAAAGGTAATACCATGATTATTGCTGTGACACTTTGCGTAGTTGCGTTCATTTGACCACGTAAAATATGCGCATCGATTGTTGCGCGAGCTGTGAGATCGGTTTGTGAGCGGGCCCATTCATACTGGTGGCTGTCGATGCAGGAGAACAGTGCGCCCACTCGCGAGACCCCAGACGGTTAGACGCCCGCACACGTGCATCAGTGTAGAACATGCAATTGTAGGTCCTTTTTTATTACCTTCACTAGGGGAAAACAAATCAAGCTCTCCTCTTCTAAACGGGAGCTAATATGCTTACCTATAGGTGTATGTCGTTTGGCGCGATCCCTCCCATCGCGCCGCCCATTCGAAACGGTTTGCAAGCTGTACAACTCATTCAAGCACCCATGAAAAAGCCAAATAGACTATGTAGACAGGCAGAATAAAACAGAATACGATCGCGATGGGAGGGATCGCGCCAAACGACAGCTTCCCTTTGCTTACAAATTTTCACCCTTTATCTGTTCATTGGCCGCCTGCAGCATAAGTCATCGATGCTCGAAGTATCAACAAATGAAGAAACGGCGACGCCGACGTCAGCACATATTACATGCTTTCTCAATTACAAAGAGTAAACTAATTAAGGCGACTACCAAGAATATGGCGATCTTCTGAATGTACACTAGGAAATACTAATACCCTATTGGATACACCATTCTAGTTTCCATTATTGATTTCATGCTTTGGCGGATGGTAGAAACGGTTACAGGCATCGCACAGCTGTCTCTATCCTTATTGTCATCATTCACAGTCCACTCGCCACGCCCGCCGTCGCCGTGCTGCAATCGTTCGCGCGGTGCGGTAATCGATATTATCAATTTTCTTGCATCACGTCGAAAGATGGATGCCCAACACGGGCATGTTGGGCATCCATCTTGTCTGCTCTGCTCTTTCGTTTATAAATTATTATACTATCACGTTGATCGGTTTGCGTGTAATTAAGTACAACTTTTCTTCTCCGTAGCTTTCACGTACAGCTTAATCACGGGGAGACTTATCAAATGATCATTCTATAGAAAAAACTGTCATTAATTACGCCCTACTACAGAATCAATATGGTAGCGATGATCAGCCAACGAAAGAAAGAGAGACCAGGTAGAACGCCATCAAAGTGCATTTATTTTAAAGCAGTAATATCGATCTCGATGTCGTATTTTTCTAATTACTGTTACCTCGCCGCAATGCCTGATGCAAAAGTCTTACGGAGTCGGTAAGTCATGGGCAAACATCTGGTTCCAAACGGAAATCGAACTCGTGCTTGTGCTTTCCTAGCACCGCGCTCATTATCCTATACACTATCGAGACTACGCTTACCTTTGCCTTCTTGAAGGCTTTGAAGCCATAGCTTATCAGCACTAACACGCATAACGTGATGAGCCAGCCAGCTGTTATTGGTTGATAAGACTTCTGAGAAATATAACATCATAGTATCGGACACCACATCACGCGCGCTGGTGCGTTGCGGCGATAGCGGAGGTATAAACGCACAACTCAGGCGGCCGCGTGACGATGCAGTTCTTGCAGTAGCCACTGGTTACTCAAAAAGGTAACTATCGGGCCAATGGCAATCCAGAAAGCGCTGAAAATCGTGCAATTCAGAGAGTACAGTTCGACATTTTCAACCCGCCGATAGTCTGATACAGTAGTTGCATCTAAAGGGATTAAAAGGAAATTGGTGAGCGACATAGTAGAACTATGATTTATACATCGCATCAGGAAAAGGTAACTGATAAGTCTGGGATAGCTTACCCACACCCACTCGTTCCCACCTACCGTATGCACAACCCCCACAACTGTGTTCCAATATTAAGAACTCCGAAACCTGGTTATTATGTATGGTTTGAATAAAGAAGAAGACGAAAGAAAGCGGGTGGGCCACGAGCAAAGCAACAGCCACAGGAAATGAAACGAAATCTGCTCAAGCTTTTCACTGTATATGTGACAGAAACACCCAAACGAAACTACCTGTGGGTACCCATAATCACCCATCTCATCGTTTTCAATTTGATTTGGATGGGAAATGGAATTAAAACGAAACGTTCATGAGAACAGCGGACCTATTTACAGCCGGCCACCCTCGCCACGCATCAAGCAACTAAAGGAAGCCGATATTGCCGCGCTGCGTGGTCCCACACAGATCGATGAATCAGCAGCCGGCCTCAGCTCGGCTGTGAAACGCGCACTCGACGTGAACCCGGCATGCGAAGTGGCCTCACGGAAGTTGTACAAGTGTCGTCGTCGCCTTTTTTTCTTCAACAAGTGCCTCCAAAGGTAATTTCATGTGTTCTATGAAGGTTTGTGAAGTGTACTTCATAATGGGTAAGTACGAAAGTGGACAGTTGGTTGGTCTTTGGTCTTCCGGTTTTATTGTAAAGATGATTTGGGAGTAATTATGGCAGTTTAAAAGCAATCAGCGTTGCTGCACAGTCACTAGATGTAGGTAGAATTACTGGATGTAAGCTGTACGGAGAGATAGATCGGTTTCAATGTACATTTCGGCATTTGGGTGGGTTTGTCGTTATTATGACGTTTATTGTAAAGTTGTGATTGATTTTTTAATTGAAATATGATATTCCATTAGAGTGATCGACTTTCGAACCATTGACGATGATTCCTACTGATGAATACGTGAAATGAATTTAAAAAAAATCAGGTGGGCATGATGTTATTGAGTGGGTGACTAGAACCTGCTGCTGTCGCCGTCAGCATTAGCAGGTTCTAGACGGGCATTATCTCCGTCGTTTCCTCTCACACTGTCTCGTCATGAAGAGGTATTCTTCACTGTTCTAATCTCGTTTGTGTCCTAGATTCACCAGTTAGACTATCATGAGTATAGTGGCTTAAGATTCACATCTACGTCGTCATCGTCGAGAAAGTAGACCTTCTAGTCGCCATTGCTCCCGCATTCATCCTAAATTGTAAATAAATATTAGTCTAGGAAATGCGCCTCGCCTAATGGAAGCTGATTCTAGTCCGATTCCAAATTTATGACTCATTGAGCAAACTTGTTTCGTCATTCCTTTGAACACTTTTGTTGTTTTTATAATGTTGCGAAATCTAATTCATCGCCAAGGAAGAATGTCAAACTATCCTGTTAAGGAATTCATCTTTCCACGTCTCGCGAATTGTGAATTGTGTAAAGTGGTCTCTTGTTTATTCAAGGACAGGTGTGCGTGCCCAGAGCCTAATGACAACAATTGGCTGCGTAGACCCTGATTGCCAGTAGAATATTGAGGACACATTACTTTTTCTTTACTCTTTTTATGTATAACGTGGTATGACGGCAAAGACAAATCGGTTGTGCAGGGCGTCAATGCAGGGGTGTAATGAATGAGTGTGGCGCCACAATCAGCCCCTTATCGTTCCGAAATCGATTACAGAAGGGCGCTGTATGTCAATCGAGTAGACCGGCTCTTATATTTTCATGTAAGAGTTCGGAGGACCTCTCCTTATCTGCACCTTTTATAGTAGCTTTGTTTTAGGGCTTGGAAAGGATCATATATCAAGTGTTCTTCGTGGTAATCAGATGTAACCTTAGTATTTAAACAACGGTGACTTTCCAGTAGTCCAAATGGAAGCCAAGTAGAAATTTTTTGCAATCCCCCCGTGCGAAACGAAAGTTGAATTACTTCTTTGATTTATCCCCCCTTCATTCAATAAATTTGTTTTAATGTCAACATATACTGTACCTTATTTGTTTGGATGATAAGATTGCTCAAAAGGCTTCACGTACAGCAGAACGTTCTGCATGTTTTGTGCCATTTTTTGGCCTCGAATGGCAGCGTTTTCATTGTCGGTCTTTCGTAAAGCCTAGGCGCTAGTCTTCTTTCAGTCCCCATCTATGGCTTGTCATCATTAGACGGTGATTGCGGGTAGAGTGCCCTGCTATACAATGCTGCCACACTACAGGAGCTGCGGCGCTATCATTGTGTGGTGCTCCTGCTAATTCGAATACACAGATCGATTCATACACCGATAAGAACGATTCTAGGTTGCATGTCGAGTAATTGAATCTTCCCCTGTACAATGGGTAAACGCTATGAACAATTGGTCTTCATTATCTGACAAAACAAACGCAAACATCCACGAAACAGCCGCAGCCAGATGGTTTTATTTGTCTTTGTTCTCTCTGTCTGTGATTCCCAAAGGTGGCGACATATCCACAAAGCGTTTCCACGTATCTCTCTCCCTCCCATGCCTAATGCTGGAAACATCAGCTGAGGGCCTGCGGACTGAAAGATATGGCTGTCAGCGGGAAGATTACTTTAGCAGTATCAGCACCTTATGCTGAACATTTCAAATAGTAGTACCTAGTTTTCTGGAAGCCGTTGTAGCCGCCTTGATTTTAACCCAGAATTTCAAGTAGGAATTGAGCAGAGTGATAGGTGAAGCAAGGTGTAGGGTTTCAAATGATTTACGACCTCCTTGCCCATCACAAGTGGCTTATGTAGCAGCTATTCATGTAAGATCCCCTCTGCGAAATGCCTTAAAGCTCAGTATTGATGTGTTTTAGAGAGGAGCATTATATGCTCAAAATCTCAATTATCGACGAAATCCGCGTGAAAAATGTTGATTAGAAACGTTGGTTAGTTCGTTGGTGATGTTGCTTCACGGATAGTTTGTTCCCTGTCAGCGTTATGAGTTTAAAATTTAATTCATCTTCATGATAACTTGTTGAGCAGTTAGGGATTTGTTCTCTTTGGAAAAGAGAAGGAGGTTGCTCCGGTTGTGTATTCTTTGAAGAATTTTCTGTATCATACTGCATTTCTTTTGCGTTATCGTTTGGTTCCATTTTGAGCATTGTTTGTATATCGGCCTGTGAAAATCAAATTAGCGAGGCAGTTTTTCCTCACTGTACGTCATGACCGTCATGATAAAGTGGGAAAGCCGCGCTTTGCTACTCTATTTTTGTAGCCCCTCACACGTTCTCCTATCTTGCTTGTTGACGTCGTGGAACGCATGATTTCCGTACTGCTTTATCACTAATATCATTTTTCGTAAAATAGTCCGGTAGGCTTTTTCATTCTCGTATATTTGCTTCGTCCACGTCGGTAGTGTTAGTGTGCGTAAGTGTGCGATAGGCGAACGAGGTGAGTTCACTCCTCTCACATGAGGGTCTCCATTCTTTATTGGAAGCCACTGAAATTTAAGCTCTAATTTTGTATCTAAAATGTCTACGTGGGCGTTCATAGGCTGCTTCCAAAATTCGATGATGCGAGCGAGTAAGCGAGCGGCTACGCGACGCGACGCTAGACAGGTGTTGTCAACATTGGACACCCATGGATCGTGTGTGAGTGCTGTCAACAGGTGGCTAGCGCCGCCGTCGCATCGCGTCCGCACAATTCTACTTGCGTGCCGGCACGCATGCAGGTAGAATCGTCGAAGTCAAAGCTCTATAGGATTGGTTACTTTCAGAGTTCGACGACCGTCCGTCCGTCCGTCCGTTCAGCGCGTGCTGCGACGGCGGTCGCTAGAGTAGTGTTGACAGCGCTGGCAAGTGATCCAGTGTGTCGACAACGGTCAGTCGCCGCCGTCGCAGCACGCGTCGAACGGACGGACGGACGGACGGACGGANTATTTTCATGGCAATGATTTCGTATCAATTCACCTCCCCCATGGGAAGGTTCTTTTGGGAAGGTGGAGTTCTTGTGCTCTATTATAGTTCCTGTTAAACTGGGTANACGGACGGACGGACGGACGGACGGATGAATCGTTGAGGTCTGAAAGCAGCCATTCTCATCAACTGCTTCTGAACATGAAACTCCCATTGTCATTCAATTTGGTGCCGTGCTTGATTTCCTTCACTGGGCCTCCAATCTGCTACGGGGGCGAGAACGTCAACATCAAGCAACACGGGCTGTTCACGTGAAAACCATTCTTCTGCTTGGCGGTGTGATTCACAATGGGATCTGCTGGGTGTGTTTCTTTGTACGAGCGTAGAAATGAATTGTGACTGATTTGGGCAGTGTTTGATAAGCTGACTGTTTGCGAGTGTAAAATGTCCAAAAGGAAAACAATCCATAATACATGACACTGTCCTCAAGCCTCTTCAAGCTATTCTATTTCATTTTCCTTTTTGTTAATTGAATGGCTTAATTTCAGATATCGTCTTGATACTGTGAAAGTATCTCGTACGCAAAACGTAACGTCGTTGTGAAACAAACAGTCAGCAGCAAAACGGCGTAGGAATGTCGGACGATCTGAGCGCGTTTTTCGCAAAAAAGAAAGACAAGAAAAAGAAGAATGTCGTCAAGATGGAGGATGTAGGACATATTCTTGAGCTCAAAGTAAAAAGACAGGTACGTTGTTGGTTTGACATACTCTAGGGCAATAGCTGTGTTCAGTGAGCGCGTTGGATGAATAAACGAGGAGAACTGGTATGCTCGTGACGCTCTGCGTTTGATTGCATTAGGGCTGGTCCATAAGAAATCGAGAATGGGGAAAGAGAATCGGCGTCTTGAGAATGAGTTATATCAATTTGTGTGACGAATTCATTGTTAATGCATTATTGCTTATGCTCATTTTTTTCTTTTTATTCTTCTTATTCTTTTATTTCTTTTCCTTTTTACTTTTTTAAGTTCCCCCAGCATTACTAGATGTGGAGCAAGACAGCTCGTTCTCGGGTTTATTGAAGCTCTCAAACCGCAGCATTGAGCCAGCTAAAGACTTCAGGGCAAAGTACATTGTTATTGCACGAAATGCTACATTTCAGGAGGAAAATGACCAGTTACAAATGGAAAGTGATATGCGCAACGTTGATGATGGTGAGTACCAAGTACGAGCACGTGGTAACGGCAGTATTCCCGGGCAAACTAGTGGTGAAGAGAGCGAGTGGATTGATTACACGGACACCAATCAGGGACGGTGCGTAGTTCATGTTTTGTTCCCTCTAATGCAGCAGTGCAAAGAATATCGTACCTTCCATTGTTTTTTGTCACGTTTAGTGATGAATTTGCTTTCGCTTGCTCTCCGAACTAGGTTTATCTTTTTTGAAGGTTGGAAGGACTGAAAATCAAGGATATGGGTGCAGAAAGTGGAGATGTCGCTGAAGAAGATCATGCAGATGATGAGGACCTCAAAGTCCACACAGAATCGATCAGAACATGGGGCCAAGTTGAGGTTTGTATTATCCCTTTCCACCATTTTCATTTCAAATGTGATGAGAGCAAAGCCAGAAGGTCTCCAGCTCTGCGTTCAATTTGCATTCATGTTTCAGAAAAAAGACGAGGATGATGATCATCAGAATGATGACCATTTTGCGACATTCAAGACTAAATCCACTTATGTCATACCTGCTCAAAGGACATTGGGGGTGAGTTATCTGCTGGCTGGAATAATTTTATTTTCATGGCAATGATTTCGTATCAATTCACCTCCCTATGAAGGTTCTTTTGGGAAGGTGGGGTTCTTGTGCTCTATTATAGTTCCTGTTAAACTGGGTATCGCTTTTTGGCAAAGTTATTGAAAGCTTAATTACCGAGTTGGAGCACAGGAAGAAAGTGCTAACTATTTTGGGTCTTCGGTTATTGCTTCACTCCAAGTTCCTTTACAATGACCCACTTTATTTAGCTTTTTGCATGTTAAGTGTATCGCGTGTATGTATGTGCGTTTTTTTTTTTCAAATTTGTTTTTTAGATGCGTACCAATGCCCAGAAGGTGGACATATCGAACAGTGAAATGTTCCCCTCACTTGCTGACGCCAGCAAAATCGAGAAGGATAAGAAAGAAGAGGCTAAGGGATCTGGAGGATGGTGGGTGTTCTTTTCCCAAATTTCACAGATCAATTCTATTGGAAAGTGATGTGCCACCGGAAACGTTTTTGTTCAGGGTGAAAAGTGGCAGCAGCGCCAGCTCAGCTTCAGAAAATCGTCCGCTTTCCAATGCGAACCGGTGGAATATGTCTTCAGGTCCTCCTCCAAATGCTTCACGTGAAAGAGAAAATGCTATCAAGGTGTGTTCACGCCATTCGGCATTTCTCGTTCGTTGTTCATCGTTTCTGTTCACTGCAGGCAGCCGCCGCTAACAGCGCTCAGAATCCAGCTCCTGCCCGCGAAAAAGAACCGGAAGCAGCCCCCAAACCCGGCAAATATGTACCACCATCGTTGAGAAATAGAAATTAAGCAGATTTTATCCGCCCTAAGCATGCTCAGCTGCGCCATTTAATGATGGTATACAATTAAGCAGAAGCTAATGTACACGCTTACTGTGACCAAACCCTCATTTCCTGTTTATTTTGGTTTTAGTTTCTTTTGTATTTGTTTTGCTCGTGATTCATATATTCTATCTTTTGTGTGCATTGCATGAGTTTATCACAAACCATAGGTCGAACTGTTTGTCTTCTGAGTGCCGTTGTGCACGATTAGTAACATAGTATGTCATGCATCGGTGTTCCATAACTTGGAAGTCGTGTCTTGCTGTTTTATTGGTATCGTTTTGATTGATTCGTTTAGGTAAGTTAGGGTTTATGTTGTCCAGCCCTTCTCTTGGTCTGTCGCGCGTTGTTTTCCCGTCATCTTTGTTCATCATTTAGTTTCAGAGATTTATGTGGATATATGTTTGTTCTATTGTTTTCGCATCATTTTGTTTCCCTTTGACAGTCTGATTACTGCATAGATATCCCGAGCCCATGTATGTAGGGTTGCTCCCTGCCTCTACTTTCTGTAGCGGTGATGATTCCTTGCAGCAGAAGTTCCCAATAAATGTGGTGATGGAACTTTCTTCGAGTATTGTTAGCTATGCTTCAAATCAGTAAATGCTGGAAAAGTCACGTTTTTATAAGGCGTTCGCTTTGCAGTAATATATCCTGACAATTGATTGTGCAAGTGTTCAATAGTTTTTCTGCCATGAGGGTGGCTATCGCCACAGATCGTCTTCGGTCTGGCAGTTTTCGCTGTAAAGTGAACAAAATCATATAGGGATATTTCCTTTTCTAGTTTAGGACGGATATTTTGTATCGTTGAGAGCTTTTGCACGTGAAGCCGCCTTAGTGATTGGATCGGCTGGATCGTCGCCTTGGATATCGGCGTAAAGGTTATAATCGTCTTCTAATATATCTTTTGCACGAACATACCTGAAATGGAAAACATTATGTCTTTTATTAGAAGTTAGCTCGTACTGATTTTGCGAGTGTACTTTTTTGGCGGAAAAGGGACTCCTCGCTCATTTCTGACCGGAAGGTCCCTGACGAGTGGGCAGTCCCTTACACACTCAAGCCCATCCACTAGCATGGGTGTTTTGGGGAAGACCATGGACTTGCACGCGTAAAATCGATACTGGATTCTTACTAATGTTGTGTTGATGGGATGGCATGGGTCGTTTTAAAGGGCTCAAAGAAGAGCCAATCTCCGTAAAGGTGAAGGTAAGGGTGGCTAAAAGTAGTTTTTTGAAGTATGTAAATATGATTGCTTAGTACACTTTCAGATAGCTATTTCCCATCACCACAACCTATTCCCATTCAGGAGGTGACTAGACAAGATTGTACAGTAGAGTAGAGCTCAGCACAGTTAGTTGCTTGCAAGCCGTCCGGTACATTTTAGAAGCAAATTGTTGAGGTGCAATTTGGCTCCAACGTGAGCGTTATAGGCCACTTTTTGAAAAAAAAAAGATAGCAAACATTGGCTTTCCCATGTAAACCTTTGGATTTGAATGAGTTCACATACCTCACGACATATTCCCTACCATGATCGCCTTTACTTGAGTAGTTCGACATCATTGGCGTCGCATGTTCATAAATATCTGGCCGCCACTTCCTCATCAGATAAATCCATGCCGTTGTCTCGGTATTATTTGACATCAAAATCTGAATTCTAATTATTATCACATCTTATTTAAAGGTCATGCTCGGTGTATGAATAGAGGCAACCTTGTGGAATGATCACAAGTTGGGTTGAGCTTTAATTTGCATTCATAAGCAGATCAATGTTGGAAGTTTTCATTCGTTCATGTTTTCTGATACAGAGAGTTGTTTCTGTCTGCCTGGGTGTCCAGAGCATGACAGTCTCAGTCATCTGGGAGAAACTAGCTGTGGCGATCATGGCTTGTCTGGTCGGGAATTAGGTCGGGTATCTGTGAAACATATATTGACGTCGTATTGACAGCCGCGCGACGACCTAGTTTCAACGGAACGACTGGAGTGCGTCCTGGCCCTACTCACTTGTTTGGAGACAGTCACAGCTCGTACAGTTCAATTTCTATGACCAACTTTAGTCTCAAAATGGTATGACTTACCTTTTCTTCTTGCCGCCAATACAATGTAGGATAGGCCTCGAGAGCATCAAGTATAGTCAGCTTTACATTATCAATCTCATAAACTTCACCATGGATTTGCTGTAAGGAATCGATTATCAGGAAGCAAAACATGGTGAAGAATACTAGGGCGCTAGGTCGGCAACCCGTTGGCCCTTCATCAATTTGCATCTATTACTTAGGCATGTATCGGGCGTCAACTGGATCGGATGTGAGAGTTTATACTTGGTCAGTGCGCCGCTTTCGCAGAAATTCGGTGGGTAGCGCAATGAATGGGTCAGATTTGGATAATTATGACACGGTTTCAGTGAGGATTACGGTCGTTACAATTTGATGCAGCTGGACCATCATCAGGGATGTGCCGGTTCACACGCGTCCTCGGCAATTCGAATAGAAGTTCCGCTTGGTCAACTAATAGCAGTTGCCTTGAAATTTGAACACGTGGCCCTACGTAAAGAGTGATACGCTGATTCCACACAATGTCCGGATACCCGCCCAATGTCAGGAAAAAAGCCTAGAAGAGTACTTACATGTCCTTTGCCTGGTTCATTTAGTACGAAAGGTATGTTATATTTGGAAGCGACGATCAATGGATACGGTACTTTTGTTCGTCCTTCTCCAATAAATCGATGTTGCCCATCCGTAGTTGTGAGGACGTTTGCGTTTGGTTCTCCTCTTTTCAGTGTGCCATACACGAATACACGTATTGGAAGTCTCGGACACATACCTTAACGGCACAATCAGCAATGGCATGATGATGATTGAGTAGTCAAGGAAAAACGGTTCATACTGAACAGTACACCAGCAGCAGAAATTCCCGCGGTGCAGTTACTGAATAGCTGTCAGGCCCGTCCATCAGTGGGCGTCATTGACAGCAGTGAGTGTTTGTGTACAAAAAATGGAAAACCCGGGAAATTATGTAATTCGCGTAACTCTTGATCTCCAGCATTTACGCGAGTTGTATATGGGAATAGAATATATGGGAATCGCTGTGTTTAAAGCACAAACTTCTCCGCAGTGCAGCCACTGAACTGCTGTCAGGCCCGCCCATCAGTGGGCGTCGTTTGGCAGCAGTGAGCGTTTTGGACGGTTTTGAAACCCCTCTACCTAGACCAATTTTCGACTCGGAAAAGCCACTTATCGATCTCAGGTGCGAAGGGTCCTTTGGAGTGATCATCACCGAAATGGAATATCCTCAGCTATCTTTGATAAATACTAGGAAACGGTTGAAAGCCAATCTTTCCCATATTTCCCTTAACTCCAGAACCGTTCACTTTTAGGGGATGGGTTGCAGAATTATAAAAGACCCAAGAATTCGAGGTCTGCTATCAAATAAAGCCTTATTAGAGGACTTCTGGGTGCAAAGCCTACGCCCACTCGAAATACAAATATTGGTTCTGGGGAAGTATCAAGAGGTAATAATCAGAAACTTCCCTCGATTAGGGGTCTGAGGAACTGGAGAGAACCTTATAATACCAACTTGCAGAATGTCTGCAAAAATGCATGAAATCGCCGAAGATGGAGTGAAAAATGTTCATCGACCGACACCTTTACACTAATGCTGGAAAAAATGAGAGAAACGACTCTTATCGGGTGGTTTTATTGAACAATCGTTGGGATCACCTCATATGTCGTAGAACAGCTGATAAGGGAGTATTCTAGACGGAAAGTTCATAGGATGGGAGGAGGGGCACTCAAAAGGAGTCAGCTTATCATCTGGGCCTCTCTTAAAGTACAAAAATTTCATCCACTAATTAAATAGGCTGTACAAAGGGCAGGAATGTACTGGTCGGTAGAGTCGAAAAAGAGAATGTAAGGAAATAGCTAATCGTTAACGACCTGACGGTCTTGACACTCTTCAAAATTAGAGGAAACTTCAAATTTTTGCAGCATTTTATGTATTCTTCCTTCAAGTTACTTCTGTTGCTCCGCAACCGCACGCAGCACTGTCGAAAACGACTTCCCATGTAGCTTGGTAAGGCTAAACTGCTCTATATAGAAGACTTAGCCGGAGAAAGCCTTTCTTATTTCCTTCTGATGACGTCCAGCTCTTAATCAAGATAGAAGTGCTACCATAAGCATGATTCAGTCATGAAATCTTGCAATGTATCTTCCCCCACAAGTCAAGCTTTTCATACCTTTGGGGTCGTTTACCTGATACCAGACTTTTCAGGAAGAATTAAAGCAACAACTTATCCAAGGACTGGTTACCGTGTTAATGAACTGGTTGATTACTCATTCTTATACCCTGATATTGAATAGAAGGGAAATTCATGGGCACTCTGTCTCAGTACAAATCATCCCCTCTTAGAACTTAACCATTTATTGAGACCTCATTTATTTAATAGTGCTCCTCTGAATTATAGATCCTTCGTACTCAATCAAAACCTAACGAGCCAGAAGAGTTTCGTTCGTGAACCTCGAAAAAAAAAACTGCAGAATACTGAAAACCCAACAGGGAATGAAAGGATTACCTGCAACGGTTTGGCTTGCCGTTGTAGGGAATTTGTTAGTGGAATTAGAATATCAATATAAATATTAGAAATAACCAAGAACTGCAGTCAATTTCATTTTATTTCTAGAATTGGACCTATAGAACAAAAAGGTGTACGTACACGAAATGCGCACAAGTTCGAGTCGTACAGGCTAGGTGACCATGGAGCGCGAAAAGCGCAAAGTATGAACTGGCCTTTCCCCGTAGTAAGAGCGGGTTATGAACCAACTGCTAGGGCACATCCAAAAATACGGCTCCGTTTTTTCTTCAAACGACTACTAAAACTATTATAGACGGGTAAAGCAGTTGCAGCATCTATACATTGGTACAAATATGGGATCATAGTGCTTTACGTTCTTTTTCAGCTATACAATGAGCATCTGTATATCAAATCCTGTCCTTTGAATGTTTTGCTACCTCTGCTCCTTCATTGTTTCTTACTTCCATAGTGATCGATCGAGCCATTCTCGCTTAAACAAATGGTTGTTTTTGTTTCTCATTTGAAAATCTTTTGATATTCAGATGCTTCCTTCAATTTATGGCTCTGTACGAAATGCTATGCAAAGACTATCGCTAGATGGAGTACGTGCGGTGAGTTTTAGTTTTTAGTACTGTCATATTCAGGTTGGGAAGTAAGCAGATGTGAATTTTTCTAAGTGCGTCGAACATTTGTCGTGGAAGGAAACTAGCTGTTCTACAAAGTGGTTTTTTTCAAAGACCGGGCACCTCAATATTCAATGGTCAATCTATATTTGGTTGATTATTTATTTCCTGTAGAAAAAACTTCAAAGTATGCGCAATTATTTAGTTGCCAGCCTAACAAATTTCTGAAGAATTATCTGAAAAATACGTTTTATGGATTATGATTTGTAACATTGTAATCTTTATGAATTTTTTACTCACAAGGTGTAAAAAAGGCTGTTCTTTGCTTACCAAGCGCTTTGACATTCTTTTAAAAATCAGAGCGTCGACGATTTTGTACTGAACTTCATCCTATTTCTCGTAATCGTTGAGTAATTGCATTGTTGTTAGGTAAGGACCGCTGCCGCACCATCGGTTTCCAAGGGATTAACAACACCAACAGAGGCGTTGATGCCAGATAAGCTGTTCAGGTAGGAACTGCTTTTCTACTTGGAATGACTATCTTTTACTCAATTTCATTACAGTATGTTTTGGGGGATTTGATGCTTCTATGTTTTGGCTATGGTCATTATTTGTTTATTCTTTGGAACGTTTCCGGTCACTACATTGCCAGCTTCCTTCACACTTGCTTTTCTGAATGTGTTTTTCTCTTAAATGGGAAGTTCATGAAAGGAAAATCAGGATTAAGATTCAATAATATTGTCGTATAAAGTACTTCAATTCCAGATCAATCGAATTAGAATATCGTGGTCACGACCCAGCAGTCCTGAAGTCATACACTAAATTTTTGAATGTAAGCATCCTTAAAGCTGTGGTTTCAAGAAGTTGTCGTCATTAAGCATCTTTTCCAGAAGTAATGAATCCTTTCAGAGTGTTTGCTCCCACTTAAATTTGACAAAAGGTCGTTTTAAAATTTTGCCGTATGTTCGATGGGTTCAATACGCGTTACGATCGAAATTCGTCCACAAAAAGTACAAATTGCACTACGAAACTCGTACTTATATCAGAAGATTTGAAGTAAGCGCTTTCAAATGCATCATATAGTTTATGATTCCTTTTCTGACGTATTGCTATTTGAATGCACTCCCGTTTCGAACATATCCGATTTATTTTTCAGGTTTTGAACCTCACAGGTAGTACGGCAAGCACATTTTTGGAGTACATAGAAAGGAACATTCCGGAAGGTGTTGGTATGCGAGTGGGTTACGTAGAAATGCAACCTCTTCCGCCGACAATTACATCGAAACAGTAGTACGTAAAACTTCCTCTTGCTCTGGTTGTAATGTGGCCTTCGCCTCGCAAATAAGTTAACGAACGCGAGCATTTACTATCGCTTCAGGATAGACTAGAAATAGGATTTTTGCAGTTCTTTTTTTGTTTGAACGTTGTATGCCATGTTTTGCACTTTTGTAGTTTTTGTTTGGCAAATAATTGACAGAGGAACCTCTCCATTGTTCTGTTGTCGTTTTTCTTGGATGTTGTTTCGTTTTTTGTCGAAATAGTCCTGTATAGTTACTCAGTGAGCAATGGAAAATATTATTACGCCCTTCTAACATCTCATTTTGATGAAGATTCTAATAAACATTTCCCATACCTCTTGTAAATCAGCATATGTTGCGAATCATTCATATCTTGAACATATATGACATCAGTTGTTGATTTTTTTGTTTTTGAGTTTGGTACGAATCATTTTATTGTAGATGGTCTTTTGGTCTGAACCAGATCTGGATCAAATCACGGATGAGTTTCTGATGTTGATGCTTGATCGTAGGGAATTCATTGATAGGTGGACAATGTCTGTGGAAATGGAAGTGGCACAATCACAGACAAGAGTGGTCAGTGGCTTTTAGGATTCTTTTTTCGTATACACAATCTCTTCGATCTGGTTTTTAATGTTTGCCTGTGATGGCTGTCATGTATCTCGGCTAAATGCGGTACGTATGGCTTTAGAAAAGTCTTCGTGACCGCCTAAAAGTGCCCATTCTCTCGTAAACTTTAGTATCAGAAAGTGCACGACTATTACTGCACATCGTGTTAGATATAAAGACAAAACATATTCTGTGCCCACTTCATGAATACTTCTACTTTTCCTGCTGTGATCTGTGTTTGCCACGGACTACTTATTTCACAATATATTTAGGTCGATTCTATCCCTGCAACTCCTCCCATTACGGATGTTCCGAAGCGCGAGGATCCGTTATTGTCGTCATTTGAGGAGCTCATGCATGCAGTAGACGCTTCATCGCAGACCTTTTTATCATCGGGTGAGTCGATACCATTCAGTTTTTAGCTCATTTTTCGCTTTTAGCAAAGCTACGATCTCTGCGATTAGTGTTGCACAACGTCCGGGATAGGCAGAGTGAGGTGGTCAGATAAAGTAACTGGGGTTCGTGAAAAGCGCTCCCTCAGCATTGAAATTCGGTTTTGAGCCTCTTCGAAGAAATTAGCATGTCCACAAGCCAGAGAGTATACCTTACATCTGCTTCCGAAAAGCATTCTCACGGCTGCTAAGTAAAGTGAGACCCTGTCCAAACTGTCTTTGATTCCACGGTGAGCTTCTTACGAATCTGTGGTCCATAACTACTACCGATACTATTACGCCCTTAAGGTTGTGCTGTACCTTGGACTTACAATAGTCGTGTTGTAGTTGTGTTCATGAGAACGTGAGCCCCAATGAACTCTTCCTATTTCTTTTCCAGCGGACTTCACTATCTGTCATTGCGAGCCTGAGCATAATCGAGATGCTTCCTTACTCTTTGCCGCACGACTTCAGATTGATAGGATTGCCTCAAGGAAAGCTGATAGCAAACGGTAGACATCCTTTCGTTCCTCGATTGGAGAATATTGACTACTTTTACCTTAGATTCATTTTTTTCGAATTTGACAATTGGTTCAGGCTTGGGACTACAGCAAGACGTTTGTTGCAATTAGTGCGGTTATTCATAACCAGAATTTCTTCGTAAGTTTTTGTCTGATTTTCCTTCTTTGGTCTGTTCTTTTTCTTTCCTCCCACCCTTTCATTCTATATATGCAATGAAGTGCCGACTGCTGCAAGGAGCACAGAAGATTTGTAGCCTTTTTTCGACTTTTCAATTTTCAGTATGCTTATTAGTCAGTTAGCATAGATGGACAGCTCGCATTTTATAGTTTTAACCTGTACTTCTCCCCTCTAAGCAGAAGTCAGTTGCTATGACTAAAATGCATTAACACTGTTTTTCCGCTGCACAAGATACCGTGAAGGATTCACCTCATAATTGCTTCAATTCAATCTATTAATTGGGCAATAGTTGTGATTTTAGAGCATTCCAAATATCAAATACCTCCGCATTTGCTACATCGTTATGTGATATGCTGTATACTTTCTGCGATTGTGCCTCTCACACCGTCCTCTCAACTGAAGTAAGTTCTTCTTACTGTAATATTTGAGTTCAACATTCGTTTTTTCCTCCTTTAGTGCCATAGTGCTCTCAAAAAATCTTTCATGGTGTGTTGCATGGTCAAGGAGCATAACACAGGCATACCGTTCGTTGTGTTCAAATTTCTACTCGCCGTCATTTAGTAGGGAATGGCGGTAACTCAGAATCCCTCTACAGCTTTGAGGGCAGGGCTTGTTTGGCCAATAAAGTTTTGGTGTTAATCAAATACATCTGAAACTTATTTTTTCTCATCCTTTTTTCCCCCTAAAAAATAACCTTTCATTATTTTTGTTGGATAGAGAAGGGTAGGTTTCAGTTTTGTTAATAATTATAATTGCTGCTCACGTTTTGACACAGTGCTAAGAGATTTTTTGGTTTAAACTTATTTGAATTGCTATTTTTCAGCAAAGTGCTGTTTCGGAGTTACGACGTGCCGTTGATGATTTTAATGAAATCGTTGTCGAAAAATTGTCAAAGGTGATTTAACAATTTCTGAGTTTCAATCACTGCCCTCTATTCCTAGTCGTTCAGGCTGCTTTCGAAGCTCAGTGCGCACGGCGAAATGCAGCAAAACCTGCCCGTCAGCAATATTTCAGTCCTCAACCTGCACGCTTACGGCGGCCACTTGTTCAAATTCAACAACGGAGCCCTGGGTATTTACTACCTCCTGATTTATTGAAGGTATGGGTTTTTGTGATAGTGCATGTATCTATAAAACTTTTCTTACGATGTCATTGTTTAGAAGCGTCAAAAACTCACCCGGACCCGCAGTGTTCCATCAATACGACCGATAATTTCATCTGGTGCTGCCTTTTCTGCTAAAGGTACCACTTCTCAGCCATCGACTCAGCAAGATACTGTTGGAGGTATGTATGATTACTAAGACTTTCGTGGTGGTTCTGATTGGCAACCTGAATTACGGCTCAAAAGAAAGGATAAAACAACAAAGTTCTTCTCGTATCAATTGTAACGAGGTGTAAACTATATAAATAGGATATACTTGATAGGTCATGATTGCATCTTCATAATAAGTATGGGGTTGCATCTTTATCTGCTTTCGGTTCACTTGCATTTGTTAATTACAGACCCCATTTCAGATAGGATGTCCGGGGAATTCTAGCTCATATCAAAAATCAAAGCTCAAAAAAAGGATAAAAAGGATAAAAGGAAAAAATCAAGGACTCCTGGTCGATAGTTGTTGTAGAGTCACGAAGCATCCTCATATATTGAGCAGGGATACTCTGTTTACCCAGGGCTGCAATTACCGCTTCTGCCTGAACAGTATCAAAGGCCTTCGATTCAAAAAATTACCTCCCCCAAACATCGCCAATACAGATTACGAGTAATTCAATGAGTAGGATTTTTGATGTCAAAATTTCTGGAGCTTAGCGTTGTTAATGATTTTTTTGCTACAAACATAATTTTGGTACGCACGTAAAGGGATCCTAGTTTTCGAGTGTTCATGATCATTCTTCCAGAGAGAAAAACTGGTGCTTCAGTGAAGGTCAAGCCGGTTCCAAATAAGTCCGAAGCTACCAGCGATAGAGACCAAAATGAATTAGCTATACGGTAAGTATCACACAGTGAAATCCGGAATTGATAAGCACATTGGCACTGTTTTCCTTTTTGGGAGCGAGTGGGCTACTTGAAGCTTCAGCACCACCTGGAAAGTTGCCAAGGTTTACTTAGTAGATGGTTGGTCAGGATAAGGGGAGCCTGCGCTAAATCAGCACTAACAACGGTCGTTCCCAGTAGCAGGAAGAAAGGGCTGAAATGTTGCAGAATGGCAGGATTGCACCTAGGATAGAAAATGTGCAGGAAGCTTTATTATCATCTTGCAAGAAGTCGGAAATGTGCAGGAAGCTTTATTATCATCTTGCAAGAAGTCGGAAATGATCGGTGAAATCGTCCGGATAAAAGGTCTCCAACGTGGGCGGAGTTCATGTGGAGAACAAGTGGTTCAATTGGGGATTGTTGCGGTTGAACAATGTAGGATAGAACGGCTCTTGACGTTATTATTTCATCCAACCCTTATTAAAATTACCGACTCGTCGGAGGGCTTTGATGACTAAAGAGACTTTATGAACCAGTGTTATATCACCAGATGTGTATGAGTGTTGTAACCGAAATGTCGCAGACTACCGCCATGCGATAATCAAAATAATTGTGATTGCCATAGAATTCAATTCACGTACCTCTCGGCTTTCTTTTTGGCAGGATCAGATTTTGTTGCGCGAGACACTGTAGAAGTAAGGTTGGAGGGGTTGGTGAACAATTTGTTGTTTGACCCGTATATGTTTATCGGTTGTAAATACCGTATTATCAAGCTCTTGCGATTTTGTATTACAGACCTTTTCTAACTTGAACGAGTCCATTTTTGCTGTTGAAAGTAAATTTGCAGTCTTGCTCGGAAAATAAGCAGAGAAGTAATCAAGGACTTGCGAAACAGATATGGCAAAGTGGACATTGGGATGCTCGGGATTTGAACTTCTAGGTTCGTCGTCTTTCCGTTAGTTTTTTTTTTTTGAGTTGCACTTTTGTTTACTCCTCTGTTACCGTAATCACTTCATGTTAGTTTTCTTAATAGCAATGGTGTGCTTTCAGAGCCGTCTGGGAGAAGAGGAGCACTGGAGCTCTGGCAATGAGTTCGGGTTATGCGCATAGGATTGAACATTTTATAGGATGTCTGTTTTGAGGAAACCTATGCCGAAATATGTGTTGCCTTATCTACTGTTACAGGTTGAGTGGCTAGACTGCTAACTATATAATTCTACTTTCACATTGTATTTTGTATTGGATTTGACAACATGCACTGCCCAAAGGCCATCTCTGATCTCTAAATACTGCACACTATAACTGTACTGAGACACACATGTAGTGGTTTTGGACGAACCCTATTTAAATTTTACATGATTTTACAATTTTACAGCGGAATTCAAAGTTTCTGACGGCTACCAGTTCCCTTTTTGGCTAACTCTACACATCCGGCATTTATTCGGTTCGTAGTAATATCTGAATTTGTATGTAAATACAATGAGTTGTGTGTGAGCCCTTCAACAATACACTGATTCATTTCCCTGTTCAGTCTGGAGGTGAACCCGATCTGGTCATCCTGAGGAGGATGGCGGTTTGATTGACCTGTAAAGTCGATACCCAATTTGATCGACTGACTTTGCGGGCAGTAGTCACTGGACACCGACAGCGCCCAAACTTTTACATATTACGGGCGTTTCGCTATGTGACTTTGTTTCCTTGTTGAAACCTCTCTGAGAATTTCCTTTTCCTTTCGACCATAAAAAAAATGTTTAGCTGGACGTGAGTAAGGTCGTTTTAATTGGGAAACTTCAAGGCTTAGAAGGGGAACCGCAGTTTTGGGGATACATTGACTGGAGACCCAGGTAATTCGACCGGGTTTTCGTAAGAATTGTTCGAAATAAAAAGGACATTATAGCCTTAGACATTCACTTGTAAGAAAGTCAAATCTTCTACGGCATCTACGGACAATCTTCTTCTGTAGGTATGAAGCCCGTCGGAGGTTGACCCCAATCGTTCTGCTTTTTGTTACTTATTGAATCCAATAGGGTCATGGTGTGCACTAAATATACAACATTTTTCTACAAAGCTGGTTTTAGTGGTAATGACGGGTAACCTCCCTTTCATGTGTGTTTGGATTGTTGAGTTCTTTCAGAATTTCACATAGGCATCAAAATTTTCCTCACAACTTTCACTGGTTTAATCGCTGCCCTGTTTTATTTTTAATTTGTGATAATCAAAGTCTTCTTTGTATTTTTCATTGATCTCTTTCAGTTTTATACGGTTTAAAGTTGTTCTTTTTGCATCCATTGACTATGGTTGTGATTAACTGTGTAATATGTATTTTATAACTATTTTCTCAAGAATTCCTTGAATGTTCCGACAAATGTCAGATTTTGGTACTACTGAAAAAAAGGCGTTACAGGAGGAAATGGTAGAGTTCATTCGGAACATTTAAGGATTTCTTTTTTTCTTTTTGACGACAATGGTTTCCAAGTTTCGAGAAAGTTTACTCACCGTGTAATATATTGGTGTGATATGAATAAATTTATGGAATCATTCATTTCATTGTATAGAGAATTCCTTCTCAGAGCTAGAGAAGACCTTCGGGTTCCCCTAGCTAAAGATCTACCCACAGATGGGTGCCACAGTGAAAGGGATACCGACACCTGCTGCCAAGAGTTGTTCAACACTAATTATAAGGACAATCAGTGGAATTTTTAGAGTATTTTATCTCATGTTCAGTTTATACTTCTAAACGAATTGATTCTGTCGCACTCCTTCGCGCGCGGCGAGAAAGGTGCCGCGCGCGAAGGAATGTAGCAGAGTGCAGCAGCAAGTAAGAAATACGAAACAAAAGAAGTAACAGTAGAATATGCTGAAAATATTAGTCGTATAGCGATTGAGCCGTATGAAGAGCGCTAGAGCTGTTATAATGAGGCAAATGGTCCGCGACAGCCGCGTGCGGCGGGTCGATTACACAAAACCGTTCCTACTGTCCGTCTCCCGAAATGTTCCGTTAACTCCTGTCGACCCTCGTTTCGGTTAATGAATGAAAAGAGCAGAAGTCAGCCGAATGCAATATTTGTTGATATTGATCGCAATCGACTGGTCGGTACCATTGCTGAGTAGTACACATCGTCCTCTTCTCCTCTGTTTTCAGATTTCTGAACGCTCCTCGTCTGAGGGGAACTGATCTGGAAATAACAAGTCGTGAACTATATGAATACTTGGTCTCCTGCACACCAAATCGATCTCTTGTCGATGTCATCGATATTTGTACGGCGAGATTTCAATTGTACCCCCTCAACTCCCTTGAAGTTTGGACGTTTTGCATCTAGAGGGAAGAAAGTTACAGTAATTCGACTATGGGTGATGTTGGGGTCATGCAAGGGGTGGTCGTTCCATCATAAGGTCCAGAAAACCGGTTCCTGTGCTGAATTTTCCTCCCCGAACATAACCATGAGGCATACATCCGGAGGAGTTAAAGCCGATTACAATGTGTTATACCAATCATTTATTCTATTCCGGTTGTCCATTCAATTGTAAGCTTTTATCAAATGGCGTACCATTGGCTGCTTTCATAGTCCCCCAGGCGGCGCGCTCGCTCGCTCGCTCGCGTGATCGCGATCCGGCCGGCGGACTATGAAAGCAGCTATTAAGGCCAATCCCCTTTTAGACACCATGCCAAGTCTAACTGCGCTTTTTTTAGGATGAGAAGGTACAAGACTGCTTCGCAGCCTAGAACTCCGTGGCAACGGCTTTTTTGCCCAGTCAGATACATCATCCATTTTTACCCCATTAAAGGCACCTATCACAAAAAAGTTAGGGTACCCTTTTCTGACGGGAATTGATAGAACTACTCTAGAATAAAGCGATAACAACGAAAAAAGCGCAAAAAACGACGAACAAAAAGAATTAAAAAGGGCCAAAAAAAGAGCTGGAAAGGGGGTTGGACGAGTTTCACAGTGAAAGAACGTCGGTTAGAGAGTGTTTGGGCAAGTTGGCAAATTGCCAGGGACGGCAAATTGGCAACTTGCCAGTGACGCAATGTGTTGTCCGCAATAGCATGCAACACATTGCGTCCCTGGCAATTTGCCAATTTGCAATTCAGGGTGGGTCCTGGCGCGATTACATGACACTGTGTCGTCTCGACACTCGTCTAACGTGACACCGATCAAGGGGTGGAGGGCGACCGTGGATACCTCTCCGGCCCCTTATTGTGCCCTATCCAGCCGTTTTCCGACCTCATTCCTGCACAAATGGTTTCAGAGG